CATCACGAGCCTATTAATGAATGCGAACAATATAGCGTCAAGGTGAAGCCTGATAATTTGTATATTGATTGGTATGGTGACGTGTGCAGTGAAGAGCGCTGTCAGCTGAGCGCTAGCGCTAACCTCAATAACAGCATAGGAGCACAGAGTTACTTGTTACGCACCCGGTATGCAGTCGAGCCGGGACATTCATGGGAATGAGATTCCCACCTTTGCCTCCGCAAGAACGCGTCAATGCATATGATGAGTTTGCCCCAGGAAACCGATCTACTCCCAAATTATTTCGTCATCAGCCAATGCGAGTTTTTGGATTGGCTGGAGGCTTCCTGTAGCCCTTACCTACCTCATCAAATCTCATATAATTGAGCCAGCGAATATACGAGTCCTTGTCTCGAGTGCCACTTGCTTGTTACCTTAAATTTTGTTATCTCTTCTCATGCGAACTCCATTGAATTTTTTTGAGTTGGTGTAGAGATAGCGTTTCCACGGCTACCCCAGGCCACGTCGGTATGTCACGTGTCACGCTCCATACTCCCCGATCAATCGATCACAGATCACTATATACTTGGAAACAGCCTTTTCGGGTACATAACTCCGAGATACTTCTCGTCCTACGGGTACTGCTGGACCGTTAGCCTTGTGTTTCCTGTTGACTGTCTTCATGCAATGCCTCGAGCGTCACAATGTCTAGAAAGCGGTGATACATTGAAATTTTCATTGTCCTCGACGGCTCAAAACCCTGTACCATTCCACTTCGGTATCCCTCTACAACTCAATGTAACCGGGTGAAGACCCACAAGTGATATCACCGAAGCCAGCGCGTTATCTCCAACCAAGAGCTTCTATCAGATAAGCTACATTCCCGAGCCCGATCATCTGATGATCATGATCATGAATCATGATGCATATGTCCAACCTATTCAAGTACTGGAAAATGTTGTCCCAATTCCAATATGTCATTGACTGCACTCATGCAGTCGGACCTTGCATCCGAGGCGGAGTGGGTACCTCGCATCCCAGTGACAACATTCATGTACAAGGCTGAGTTCCTTTGTCGTTCACATTTCTGGCCCTCCATGTCCAACTTGTACTACAGCATCTTTCGAGCTCACCGCCATACGGTTTGCTGCTGCGCGATAACATGCGCGGACGTATCGGCATGACATGCGGGCCTGAAAATGATTCTTTCTTTCCGATATCACACGACCGTGTGATGGTGCTTTGCGCTAGCGTCAGGTCCCCAGTTATCGGTGATAGGGAGACATGATTCTTGAATGAGACCATACCGTGACATAGTCCAGGATGCATCTCCTATTTTCTCCCGCGATTTGGTCAGGAAACGAGCAAGTACGACGACGGGGGCTGCGACATCGCGAGGATCCTAGATATGTGCGCGAACTCTCCGCGAAGCTTTAGCCCCATTGATAAATAAGGTTACGATAAAACATACCTGGGCAACTTGAAGTATTTCTCATACAGGCCCTGTTAATCGAAAAACTTGAGACTAATCGAACGATGAAAAATAAAGCAGGCTTAGATACGACGGACCCCCATTTGTCTGCACGATAGGGGGAACCAATTACAAGCTAACGGCAAAGACAGCAGAAGACGAGAGCGCAGCCAATGATTTGATGAGATTTAAATTTAAAACAACATTCTAAACACCGCGCGAAGTCATCCAGTACTACGACCAAGCTCCAGGCATCAATCGTCTTCGTCTTCTCCAAGTACATGCGCTGCTGCCGATGTCCCTTCCTCCCTTGATAGAGGCGCATACCACTTACTTGCATCCGTGTCTGACAGCTCAATGCCCTCAGCGGAAAAAACAACATTGGGCTGCTGCGCAGACGACGCATTCCGCCCAGACGTGGAGTAAAGGTGCAGCAAGAGGACAGTGAGGAGGTAGAACAGGAACGCAATGCTGTGAGAGAACTAAGCTGACAAGCATTAACGCGAATTCGTGAAGGCCCCCACCTATACATTGACAGTACATATGTGACGTGGTCTACCCCTTCCTCGTGAGCAGCTTCGAGTTCCTCGTCCGTAGCAGACATAAAAAGTAACCTGGATACACAATTAAGAACCAAGCATGGCTATGCCATAGTGGCAACATACCCAGAAGCGACCAGTAACTGTTAAATATTACGATGAGTACTTTCACAGCAATCGTTAAGGAATAATACTAACAAACGGTGGCAAGTGCCTGAATGCCCGGACGGCATTCAGTTTCGCGGTAACACCAGTATCTTTGGGCGCAGCGGGTGCCAGGGTGTGTTCTGAATCATTATCATCCAGTGGAGGTCTCTCCGATAGGGGTGAGGATGGCAGCGGTATGAAACAAACCTCAAGGACACGTGCAAAGCCGGCGAGCATCAGCGAGTATCCAAACATAGAGTGAACCTGAGAATATGACCAGCATCAGTGCACACGAATGGTGAACCTGACATGATTCTTACCTTCGTGGACAACATCAGAGCCTGGGCATGGTCTGACATAGCCCATCCTGTTAATATTATGCTAAGCGCTTATCAGACCATCGACCAATACGAGAAAGCGAAAAGACGAACATCACGCCGGGGACAACATTTCGCTGTATGCAGAGACAAGCTCAACAATGCAATAAAAGCGACTGGGTAGGTGTACCTGATTATTCCTAGACAGGAAGATGCCAAGAGCGCCCCCTGCCCACCAGAGTATCCCAAGAATCCTGCGTAGGCGTGTTTAATCACTTGACCGATACAATTCTCGGAACAGACGTACGTATGCTGCATATCTTTCACACTCCATTCACCACCGTGGTGCTCAGTGAATGTATTGATTATGCCCTGTCACATATTTAGCTCGGGCACGTCCATGATCCGCGATAGGCGCACCCAAAGCATAATCACCCAGGAATCCCACCATTCTGGGCTACGGCCGCTGCGGCGGACCCAGTTGTCCCCGACAACGAGTAAAAGCGCCATTATCATACCATAGGCAATGAATCCACTTCCCTGAAGATTTGAATGAGCACCATTCGAAAGGGGTCATACTACACGTGGACCTACCATGATATAGTGCGCAGCACATTGTCCAGCTCCCACCTCCCCGCAGAATCCCCTTAGCGTGATAACGCCAAACAAGCCCTGAACCCAACCAAGGATGGGCCATATACGTCCTAGGACGCCATGGGCGCGCACAGCATATGGTCGTAGGGTACGTTCATGAATATGAAGCTTGAGATAGATTCCAAGGCCCAACTGGGCGAAGATAGGGACCAAAATCCATGATCCGATATGGGAGTGGGTAGAAGAAGGAAACTGTCGACCGCCATGTGCATGGCCGAGGACTATGCCACCAAAAGTCAGGGCAAAGGCGAGACTCTGTACGTGTCAGAAGAGAATCACAGAAGGCGAAACAACGCAATGTACTTGTACCGGAACATGCCATCTACTTCGCGTAAGTCCAAGGACCATACCTACTGGGAATATGAAACCCCATACGATAGCTTGGAGGGCGATATGGATCCAGAGAACGGCATCAACTGGGGCATGTAGTTGTTCTTCTGTAAGGTCTGCTCCGTGATGTTCATGAGCAAGCACCGGCACTATCCAAGTTAAGACGAGGGGAAGTAGTAGGGGTGTCGATAAGAACAAGTCGCCTGCCATCAACAACGCTGAGTGACCTTGATTCTACTAGATATTGTGGCTTCGACCAACTTGGATCAAAGTGTGACACGTGCATCGGTTGGCAAAGTGTGATATTATGTAATCGATGCCCGAGTTGATTGGGAAATCATGTGATGTTGATTCCGGAGTCCCAAGCGCGCACTGCTATCCAAATTCAAACCCAATTTTACTAGTCCAACTGAACATCTATCGACATTTGCCTCATAGACAAACTAGTCACCAGTCTACCAACGTCCTCTGGGAAAAGTTGTAGTAATTACCGATGCGAAACCGCTGACGACAAGGCAACATGTCCACCGGGGATAATCGATAAACGACTACAGTCCGAGAGCCGCCTGTGACATTTCGGTACCACTGGTTGGACTATCATACACTACTGGCAGAACGGATATATATATTCAGGGTGGCCGTCTTTTAGGGTCAAGTACAAGGCTACCAGCCATAAGGATATATCACTATGAGTCTATGACTATATCCTATGATGCTGTGACACGAGGGAGAACAGCAGTGGTAAAATTTTGGCGACACTTAGTGGTGCCGGTGATGATCATGACACCCTGAGACACAGCCAACTTGAAATTGCTAACCGCGACAGATGGCCGTTAAAATTGGGGAGGCCTCGGCATATGTATCGGTGGCCCATCCGTCTATGGAACTTTTCTGACCGTCTCTCAGGTGTGCACGCATGATCACGAGGAGATGTGTGGATGGTCTGTATACCTTATGAGTGCTGGGCCAACTTGCCAAGCTATTTTATAACTCCGAGACAAGTTCTCTTTTATCATGACCTGGCTACTAGCTGTGTCATAATCTACTACGAGCTCATTACACTCCGTTGCCAAATCATCAAAGGATGGCCCGCGGAATAAAAGAGCTAGGGAAGCCAGGTATGCTATAATAATATCTCTATAGCTCAATTGACCTGTGAAAGAAGCAGCATACGTATGATACCACCGGACATCGTGTGGCTCGCGATCAAGCGACACCATAACTCCCCGGCTACGACTGCCCGTCAACTCAGATTAGCGGGAGTTGAGTTATGTATATCGCACGTATTGCTTACAGGGAGGAGTCGGACTATAGTTCAGTCATCGACCCGGGGACCGCACCCCAAACCTTACTTGACAGCTTATCGCAGTTTACGTCCCTTCAGGGTTTCACTCTGGTATACTGTGTTTCAGGCTCACATCTACACATGACCCGCTATGAGCTGGCAGTGGGCACGTCTTTCGGGCAGAAGGCCTGGTATAAATTGTGCTTCCTCTTGATATTTGATTTGGAAACGCGGATCATATTCCCTCTCCACGCTAATCGAGGACTAACCACTGTCCAATGAGACATATCCTGACAGGCTTGTTGCTCTCGAGCACGTTTGTTGCCTGTGCGTGGGCTGGGCAACCAACTCATATTTATGGTGTTAATTTGGGTTCATGGTAGCGTTACAACTTACTCTACGTCTCTGACCGACTATTTAACTTAAGTGGTAGCGCAGGTTAGTCCTAGAGCTATGGATGCTCCCTCAAGGTGATAAACCGATGAACTATGCAAGTACGTGTTTACTGAACAAGTTTCTTTAGGGTGGGTGGATATGGGTGGACAATTATGTGGTTCAGATTGTTCGACATGCATTTCAACCGAGTCGTACGTTCCTATTCTATACTATCTGTATGTGAAACTCGATTTGTTTTGTGATAATCTAGGGCATTTGCACAAGCGTATCCTGACACTGTCAATGTTACATTCGCTCAACACTGGGATACATGGTTTACACAGAGTGATGTCGACACATTAAAGGCAGCCGGTATTAACACTGTCCGCATTCCTGTGAGTTTCAAGGCATACCACGAACGTGGCTAAGCTAACGCTGGACGGCTTGATCTGCTTTGCCTTTCTCATCCCGTGCGGACTCGTGTGTGTTGTGCAACGGGTTCGTACATAGCTGGGATACTGGATTGTGGAGGATTTAGTCAATAGGCCGTATGAATTATACCCTCAGGGCGGTCTTAACTATTTGGTGAGAAGCTCCGTTGTAGTTCAATCTTCTAGTTAAACACAAGCTTTTGCAACTAGCGCCGGGGCTTGGGCTGGCTGCAAGACGCCGGGATCCAAGTAATCTTGGATCATCATGCATTGCCCGGAGTTCAAACGGCTCAGCAAATGTTCACTGGAAAGTAAGTTCCCATTCGTTCACTATTGGTTCGGTACTGAGAATGATTTTTACCAGTTGCACTACTGATGTTCAATTCTACGTGAGCCCTTTTGCAGCTGGCAAAAGCAATAAGTATAATAACCTGCATACAGACTCCATACAACTACCGGCGTGCACTGGTGTGGACGGCGGTCATGACTACGCTTTCTCACCTGGACCCTAATTTTGGAAATGTTTTTTCGATCGAAGCAGCCAATGAGCCCAATAATGACGCGTCTCAAACACCTGGCTATGGCACATGTATGTATCACTCGTCAGAAGTTCTTTCTCATGAGTTCTGAATCTTCATACAGTCCAAGAGAACTTCGTTCAGACAGTCCGTGCCGTTGAACTCACACTCGGAATCTCTGTGCCGTCGTCTAATTTATCGGTATCGGTATCAGCGTCCGTCTCGAACAACTTCACCGCTGCATTGAATGAAACATCCTCGGCAACCATCTTCCCAGCAGAGGTGCAAGCGGCACTTTCAGAAGCGGTTCCGATTATTATGGGGATTGGAGCAACATACGGTTTGCAGACCATATTCGAAGCGTCACCCTTCAAACAGTCCGGTACTCCATTGGTAACGAAGTGAGTTTGCTACATGTTCTTGCTAGGATACATTGACGATGGCATGCAAAGCTTCATGGATGTGAATTGGCAGCACAACAACCCCTCTAACCCAGCTGATGTTGCGATTGGCCCCCAAGCTTACGACGACCACTTGTATTATTCGTGAGTGCGACTACATTGTATTATCATGATTTCTTAAATTCTCTCTACAGGTCGGCTGTATGTCGTGTGCATGTAACTTATTGCTTCTCGTTGACAATTTTATAGGGAAATGACCCGACATCATACATGACCAGTATCTGTAGTATGTATTCTTCATTGGTTCGGCAATGGCGTACTCATGTGTGGTAAAGATCTTGCAGAAATCCAGACTGATGCAGCACTCGGCAACTCTCCACTCTGGTTCGGAGAGTGGTCACTCGATACACAGTTCAATGCCACGGATGAGTTCCTTTACCAATGGGCTGACGCACAGAAGTTGGCCTACAGCAAAGGTGCTGGATGGATTGTACGTGTCCCATAGTGTTTGATCAAGACGTGGCACAAACAAGAATCCTTTAGTACTGGAACTTCAAGATCGAGACATCAAACCTTACCAACGGGAATGCCCGTGCAAGGCAATGGTTAGTCGAGGCGCAGACAAGGGTATTTTATAAATGACTTGATGGTCATCTAGGTCATACCTTGAGGGGTTGGAACTCGGGTTCTTTACCCAGGACCCCGCGGCATTCCACGATCCAAACGTGTGTGCTCCATACACGAACAGTACTTCGAACAACACTTCGACCAGCGTCTCGAACAGCACCTCGAAAGGCACCAGTTCAAGTGTGCCTATATCGATTCCTACCACAGGTTATCAACCACTCATTTATTTTATGTTCTTATTATCGTCATCATTAATATTCCTTTAAGCATGCCAGAAACAAGGTTCATTTGCCACCGCATATTCTCTTTAGACATGAGAGGGAGGTTACATACACTTGATAAATACCCGACTACCGAACTTCTCCAGCAAGACCCTTCTTTATCGTTCTTTGGACTGTTTGTATCATAAATTGGTATTTGCTTTGACAAGATCTTTGCTCGAGAATCCTTTGTGGTGATTAAACAAAATCGCGACATGACCGAATTCTGAATAAGCATCAGCAAGGCGTTGAAATCTAAATTAAGAATTTCCGACAGAGGCCTCCTTTCTCGTTTAATCAAGCCTAGTGAGTCAGTGACCCAACTTGTGTCTGTCCACTATGAAGGAACTTACTATTGGCTCACATATCAGGCATCGCTCGCAATCCCTTGATACTATTCCTCTCGACATACTTTTCGATATATTTCAGCTTCTTCCTATCCAAAGTGTCCTGGCACTACGGCAGGTTTGCGCCCCTGTTTTCATTTCACAGGTTTTTGTATCTGATTTTTATTTTCTAGACTAGTAAAAGTTTTGATGCCATCACCCGTATGCGCAGTCTCTGGGCTTTTTTTCTGCGGACTCTTGTCCAGCAAAACATCCCTATACCTTATTTCAATGGGAAATCCCCTGAGTCTCTGTCAACCTTAGAGCTCGAGCGGTTTACATGTCGTGCACTTGCTCTTCGCATCAATTGGACTAACCCTAATCCAACTCTGAAGAGAGAAATTCATTTTGGGGGGGCAGAGAAACATTCGAACGTTTTACTAATGGAGTTTCTCCCTGGCAGAGGAAATCGTTGGTTAGTTTCTGTCATGATCGAGGCATTCAGAGAATGTATCATCCAGTGCTGGGACCTTACCATCCTACAACCCGTGTGCATAGCAAAACGGACGTACAAGAAGGAGGCATACAAATGTGTTGTTATCAATAATGATCCCTCTTCTCCAGCCATAATGGCGATTCAGTCCAAGCCAGAAGTGTGAGTGTAAATACTAACACCTGCTTTGACGTTCTTGCTGATTGTCTATTATAGAACGGAAATACTCACCATCGATTTCGAAGAGAAAGACCCTGTGTCAGCGTTCGTTCTGCTGAGTGCCATTGATGGACGTAGAATGATTCACCTACTCAGCGGGAGCACACTTGTCACCAAGTGTCTAACACGCGACGGAAAAGTGAGCATATGGGACATCAGCGACCAACCTTGTGAGAAAATCCAGTTGGTGAGCCCTTCACTATTGCAGGTTAGCTTGCTTTTCCTGTGTAATCCCGCACATCGCTGAATTCTATGATTTAGCAGTACAGTTGCAAAGCAATGCATCTCTGTGACGATTACCTGATAATATTCTTCATCCGGACTGTCGAGCTCTACTCGACCATTCCCCGACCCAACAACATTGCAACGCCGGGAGTGCCAATCTCGTATCCACTCGCACAGCACAGCTTTGACTACCGGATCATAGACAAAGTCAATATGTCAGAACAAGTTAGCTGGCATGCTGCGCGCTTGCACCGTCCATCGCCGATCAACATTGTCATTCGGTTCTGGCCGGTGGACACATTGCATCATTTCATGCTTGACCCAAATCCCGCGTATGTCCCAGGACGGGAAACTTCTCTAAACAACCTTCCATACTTGGTGCAGCCCACTCTAGTGCAGACGATATGCTCTCCAGCGTTGTCAAACCTGAAGTCGCACTTTGCTCTCGGACGATATGGTACTATGCTCTTACTTGACAAGCATTACCCAGACCTGGCGGACGGGATGGATTATAGCTACTTCCAACATCAGCGACTTGCAGTACGGATACTGACAACTACAGGAGGATCCTCAACTAGCCAGCATGGCCCACAAGATTCCATGGCATTTCATGTACGAGGCGGCAGCTATTGGAACGGGGCAGCAATTGATGAGGAGTCTGGGAGAATTGTGGTCAGTAATGTAGATGGTACGATAACACTCTTCGAATATCTTTAACTTGGTTTCTTCATTTGTTTTTGGCTTTGATTATTGTCTCTTGACATGGACATTCTTCTCCACACGCACATAAAACTCACATCTAGCATATTTCACCATTTTCTCGTCTATCACTTTATATCCCTTGTCCATGATATACGAAAGAAAATTCATGGTGGTGGTGCTCAACTGCGTGTTTCGTTCCTGCTAGGTTTCCATTCCGAAAGATCACAATGCCGATATATTGCGTTAGGACGCAATGAGGACAATATGTGCCGTGTGATAATCCTATACTCGGAAAAGTACGTACCGCTGACGGTTCCCTCAGTGTTTTGCTAAACTGATTGCAAGAGAATGTTTTCCTATTGGAAAATCATGAATCCTTGGTGCTGGGCACACCGCGCAACAAGATACAGACTGACCTGGGGAAATGCTGGATGAATGTGACTGTTTCCACATCGACCTGGGCAGCTAGACTTCACGTAACGCTTGCGAGATGTGTCAGTTCACAAGACATTTGTGTATGCAGGGAAGCGATGAGACAGAGCCCATTCAGTCACATGGTCTGTATTATACAGGCAGCTGAGGTTGAAAATATGCTGTTCCACACAGGCCAGCGGATGTCGGCCGATCAAATATGTGTGCCCGTGTTTAACATTCGGCCGGCCGGTTCAGTGAGAGACGAATTCAACAGCTGCATCAGGAAAATAACGGATTCATTTTTATGACTTAATAGTAGTTATGGGGTGGCTCGGCTTCGGCTGGTTCGGCTTCGGCTTTCAATGGTTATGCGGCAGTTTGGTTAGCAATGGGTAGCTCACTTAATTTTTCGGTTCGGTTCACCTCAGTTAGCTCAGCCTAGCTCCATGAACCGACTTGAACCTCATTATGTCTGAAAGGCAGTTTAAGCCGGCTTGAGCCGGCTTGAAGCAGGCTCCAACCAACTTGATGCCAGTGCCGCGTGTGCATGCAACCTTTCCTGTCTAATACCTCTTCGAAATTTGAATATCTCAATGTACCATGAACAGCGTTCCAACCCGAGTTGATGGCAGATTTAGGCTGGGAGACATTCTGGGATCTGGCTCATATGGTATGTTATTTTACATGTACAATCCGCATGTTGAATTTGAGTTCAATACATATGATAGGTGTTGTATACCATGCACGGAACATTATCAACGACGACGAACTTGCCGTCAAACTTGAGCCCCTTATCAACAACTCATCTTCTTTAGAGCAAGAATATAACATTTTGAAAGAACTTGAAGGTGGAGTTGGGATCCCACGTGCCATATGGTTCAGTAGAGAGGCGACATATGATGCTCTAGTCCTCGACCTTCTAGGGCCATCCCTACATGATCTCTTCCTCGCGCGCAAACGAAAATTCAACCTTCATACCATCCTGAATATCGGAGACCAACTGGTAAGTTGGTTTATGGTGGGTCCTGGCGGCAGATGCTAACTTAATTCCCAGCTCTCATCCCTGGAGTATATCCATTCACACAACTACGTTCACGGTGATATTAAGCCGCAAAATATCTTAGTCGGTCGCGGTGCTTTACAGAAAACCGTCTTCGTTGTCGATTTTGGTATTGCAAGGGAGTACTGGAACTCTGAAACCCAAACCCATATGCCATTTCGTCAAGGTCGACGTCTTACTGGCACTCCTGCGTTTGTGTTGATCAATAACCACCTGGGAGTCGTGCCTGGTCGTCGTGATGATCTTGAGTCGCTCGTATACATGTTGATTTATTTCATCTGCGGCTCCCTTCCATGGTTGACTAGCGACTATGAGAAGCTCTCTAGCTCCTCGATACTGGCACACAAGGTGGACACCACCATTGAAGTTCTGTGCCTTGGAATTCCTTCTGAAATCACAACTATGCTCATTTACTCGCGCAATCTCGCATTCTCCGAAGATCCCGACTATGATTATCTTCGATCGTTACTCCATGGTGTTTATGCCACAGTACCTGCAACAGCTACATGCTCACTCGATTTTGGCCAGTCCAACGATCTCGTCATACATTCCCCTTCAATTCCTAGAGATCACCCAGTAGCTAAGGAGGTGCCTCCATGTCGACCAAAGACAACGCCCCTTCGCAGATCAGCTCGTCATGTGTGAGTGGTTTGTGTTTACTCTTCCAAGTTCTCACTTTCGCTAACTCAAACCTCCAAGCTTACGCCCACATAACGGTTCTCCCATGCCTTTAACTGCTTCCAAGACACCATATTGTAAAAATATCTAGCTACATACTATACCATGGTCCATGCGACTTCTCTGGCTCGAGCGTGTTGTGTTTGTGTGAATATGTTACATAATACATATGTATGTTTACCATCACGTGACTGTAGTGGACCAACTATGACTCTTATCGATATGAACACGTTGTGTTTCACCATCATGTTGTCCTCACTGTTCCCTGCAGTCTGCAGATTTGATCTGCAAATTGGATAAAAAGATAACCATTGACTCAACTCATCATGACTCACTTGGAGCCATCAAATCATACTTATCGCATTCACAACTTTGAGGTAACAATAACGGCCATTCATTGACAAAACTGATTCTTTAATCTACCCCACTTGTTACGGACTAGGATAGTTCGAGCTCTCCCTAGGCGGATTGCCTAATCTGATAGCGGGCTCGCTATTGGAGAGACGGGGATCTTCTCTCGAATGAGAGGTTCGGGGTTTCCACTTAAGGTAGCGTCGGCTTTCCTTAAGGTGCGGCTTAGACTGAGTGATTGGGATGATCACACAGAGGAAGTTCTGATGAAAACCTAGTAGAATCAAGTAGGGAATATACATGATTCTGTCTGCTCTATATACTGTCGTCCGTGTGCACAGACCAATACTACGTTCGGTAGGTAGGTATGAGTGTGTCTATACAAGGGCATCTTATCTGATGCCATGCGGTCGATTATCTATACATGAGGCTTACCATGCCTCTCTTATCTGTCCTCAAGGCGTAGCATGCCTTGGAGTCTAACTGCGCATGCTAAGGCATGCGGCTTCTCTTCTGACCATGAGGCAGAGCTTCCTCATGATCCGGGTCGAGGACCATCTAGGTCCGATCAGATGTAGCCTAGGCTGGTCTAGGTCATCTAACGGCATCCAGGCCGTTCTAGGCGTCTCTACGAGTCTCCGTTGAGTCGGTAAGTCTTCCAAGACGGTGCATATGGTGGGATAGGGGCTAAGGTCATGATGACCTCCGTAGGAGGGGTTCTCGGTTACATGTTATTGTAACACAACTAGGATATATTCAATGGCTATGGCATACACATGGCGCATGGGGGACCTTCTGCCAACGTGTTGTTGGATTTTCCTTTGTGATCGGAATTCAATCGGGTCACTTAGCGGGGTTTGTGTTTGATTCATCCAATCAATTGTATCGCTGATAACAAACACAGTGCAGTCAGACTTAAGCGTCTGACTCACGATTCCACAATGCTATTCCTTGCATGGCAGGGATTGCATACAGGAAGTGGCTAATTCATACAAGGGCACTGCACCGGACAATTTGAGACACGCTTAGTATTAGGCGATGAAGGTAGCCTTTCTTTGAGTTCTAAATCTTACTGTTACTGAGACCCTGCAACATTTTGGGGTCAGATGATCCCCGTGAGACCCTGGCTGCATCTTCCTTCGCTAATCGGCGGCAACTAACGTGCCCCCAAATTGTCAAGACTCAATGACATGAGGACACATACGTGGCATTATGTGTTGGGCCTTATCGACAGGTGAGTCAAGGTTACTGTGCACATGAGCATTTCCTGGGACTCACTAGGACAACAGTTATATAGGACGGTAATTCACTCATAGTTATTCCCAACCCTTACGATAATGCCACCTCGCCGACGTGCTCTCAACATACCCCAGACTTCATCCCCTGCTACTGTAGCTCCTCCTGCCAACACACCCCAGACTTTATCTCCTGCCACTGTAGCTCCTGTCAATACACCACAGATTTTATCCCCTGCCGCTGCCGCTCCTGTCAACACGCCACAGACTTTACCCTCTGACGCTGCTGCTCCTGTCAACACACCACAGACTTTACCCCCTGCTGCTGCAATTCCCCCTGTTGCAGCCTCCCTCACTGCAGCTCCCCGAATTGCAGTGACTGAAGCTCTCCGGAATCCTCGCAAAACTCGACGGCCCACCAAAAAGCAGCGAGGCGGTGCAGCTCCCAGGGCTGGTCCAAGCCACGCAGCGGATGACGGCGAGTTCATCAATCTTGACGTCATCGACGATGTCAACGAGGAAGACGATGACCACCTACTAACACCAGTGGAAGTGGCCTGCACAGGCCCCAGCCCACTTCAAACGCTTACAGGTAGCGATACAACCCGATCCAATCCCTTGGCCACGGGGCGTCGAACAAAACAGTCAGGATCGGAGGTACACCATTTTTTCACAAAAGATGCAACATCAGGACAGCGCGTATGTACACCCTGTGTGTGAGTATCATCTCCAAGTCTTTTTTTGTTTTCTCTTTCTCACATCATTCACCAGGGACGTACAGAAAGAAGATCCCTCATACGATGTTGCCGAATACAGTTCGTCAACGACTACAGGCACTCTTCGGGGCCATTTACTTAAATTCCACCTATGTATCTACATCGCCGCACTTGAGCAATACGGTTTGAAAGTTGGGGCAAAAGAAGTCCGGGACCTTCTTGATATTGGGTGGACTCTCGCACACATAGGTCAAGAGCTCGACCAGAACCCTGATAAGCTTCTTGAATCGTTTGGTTCCCCCGGTGGGGGGAGTCTTGGTTCGCGACCTAGGTCAGGGGTGTCAGCGCCTGGAAATGATATACCAGACTTCACCATCGAGGAGATGCACAGGCAACTCGTCAAATTCATCGTGGTTGATGATCAAGTGAGTACTTATTTACTTTCTACAATGTTGTTATTAATTGACGTTTTTAGGCGATGAACTTAATGGAATGCCCTGAATTCCGAAGGTTACTCCGACTGCTGCGGAAAGATCTACGGGAGTCCGACATCCCTCATCGGACAAAACTACGTGAGTTAATAGTAGAAACATGGTACGAATATTTCGACACTTTAAAGCAAGATATGGCAGTAAGTGTACGACTATTTTATCTCACAAAATATCTTATGTTCTTTCAGAAAGCGGAGGGGAAGATATTGTTTACCTCTGACCTCTGGTCAGACGAGAACCGCCGTCCATTCATGGCATTGACGGCTCACTGGATCGCCCAGCAAGCATCAAAGCTCGTCCTCAAGGCTGGCCTTATAGCTTTCACCCATATTCCCGGTTCACACGATGGGGTATCACTTGCTGCAATCATATTAGGGCTCCTGGACCGTGCAGAAGTAACGGACAAGGTTAGTGATTAACTACACCATGTAACATATTCTGACTTGATCTAGATTGGCCATTTTACTTTAGATAACGCAACCAATAATCAGACTGCCATGGTCGAGCTTTCTCGTCTGCTGTTGGAACGCGGTATCGAGTTTGATCCTGTTGATCGCAAGATCCCGTGTTTCCCGCACATCATTAATATTTGCGTTCAGCACATCATCGCCAGCTATCATTCCGTGGATTTTTCAACAGCACCCGCCCAGTGGCTAGCCTGCAATGCGGTCATCAAAAAGGAGTCGTATTCGGAAGCTCTAACATTTCAACCTGTCAAGCGAGGCAAGCATCTTGTGCGTGTGATCCGTGCATCAGGCCAACGACGAGAAACCTTCCGGAACACTATCTTGATCGGCAACCAAGGAAATTTGTTTCCAGGAGGAAACCTTCTGGTCGTCGAACTCCTATGCGATGAGCCTACTCGATGGGATTCGACGTATGTCATGCTCAATCGTCTTCGAACGCTTCGCCCGGTAAGACATTATCTTGTGTAATATTTTTACAAACTCACAGTGACCCAGGCTATTGATTGCTACCTTGCGACTCAAAACAACTTAACCGAACATGGGTTGAGTCCAACGGAGTGGATGGTCTTGCAAGACCTCGAAGTGATCTTAGAGGTCAGTGTCGACATCATTGAAACACCTATGATGTGTGTTAATCTATATCAGGCACCCCATGCGTGCCAACAATCAATGTCTAGTGAAAGCACCCCTATGCTGAGTGGTGCAGTCTCCGCCTTGGAACGTTTGATGGAACGATGGGAAGGGATAGCCTGGATCGCCACACATTGTGCGCCTATAATTAATGTAGGCTTAGCATGGGCAGACAAATATGGCCACAAGATGAGCAAGACAAACGCGTATGCAATCGCGATGTGTGAGTTTGGTCTGGGTACAGGTCGGTCAATTTCTCACAATTTTTATAGTCGTTGACCCTACATTATGTTTGTCATGGATTGATGCTCACTGGGGCGAAGAACAAGCTCGCACTGCCAGGGAATCTATTATGAGGCTGGTACGTCTACATTGACTCAAACAACGCATCTTTAAGTTAACATGTCCCACAGCTGCGGGAGAAGAGAGCCAACTCTACTCAACATCCACTGGTAGAAACACCAGCTCTCCAATCGCGCACTGGAACCTTGGGCGCGCAAATTTATGGTATTCCTGATGTTGACTTGCCATCACGTCACCATCTCGGTGTTCAAACAGCTGACGAGGAATTTAATATGTACAGTATGTCTCATGTTAGCCCTCAAGGAACCGACGTGCTCGCATTTTGGAATGTGAGTTTTTCATATTGAGTCACTTCTGTTCATTATTAATCATATGTCGACCAGAGTTCAAAGTCGCTGTTTCCTACCATCTACAGCCTTGCGATGGATTATCTGCCCATCCAGGCCTCCGCTGTTCCCTGCGAACATATTTTCTCATCAAGCAGTGAGACGTGCACAAAAAAGCGCAATCGCCTCAGCCCTGCTATGATGGAGATCCTGCAGATGCTGAAGTTCTTGCTGAAGAAAGAACGGCTTGACTTCGTCAAAGGGTGGGCAGCATCAGAGCGGGAGATGGAGTACTCCACTCAAATACAGTGCACACTGGAGTTGGATGACACGCACCAGGAGGAATTTTTGTCATCTGCCGGAAGTACCGGCAGCAGTCACCAACACGACGCTCTTCTCAAAGCCATAGCAGCAGATGAATGTGACAGCATTCCCGATGTTCCTGCCCTCTATTCCTGACATTTTTTCTGCCTCTTTTATAATTTTGTGTACCACTACCTAGTACTCGCTTACGCTACGTCTGTCTGACTCTCATTATCTTGATTTTGATTGTTGACTCTTTTCTCTGCTAGGTTGATTCATGAGTCCAAGAGCGTGTCTTAACAATGTTTCCTTTAAGCTGCTGTTTCTGATAATTCCATGCCCCACTATGGAGAAGGGGCTTGAACGACGAATTGAACTGCAACACTTGCGGTCTCTATTGTAAATTGGTGAGTGATATTTCGTCTATATACACCATACGGACTTCATTGCTCATTCTAGATAATGCCATGAAGAAGGGGCTCGAACAACAAATTGAATTGCAACGCTTGCGGTCTCTATTGTAAATTGGTGAGTGGGATTTCGTCTATATACATCATACAGACTTCGCTGCTAATTCTAGATAATACCATACCCCACTATGAAGAAGGGGCTCGAATGACAAATTGAATTGCAACGCTTGCGGTCTCTATTGTAAATTGGTGAGTGGTATTTCGTCTATATACATTGTACGGACTTCGCTGAGCGAACGTCTCATTTCATTATTTTCTGTCTCAATTAATATTACAGGAGTTCTATATATCATCTTCGCACCAGCCCCCAGGTACTTCCAGCGACTCGCAACATCAGCGTATGGTGAGTCGTATTTCGTTGAAGCACTAGCAGGTGACACTCATATCTACTCTTACACAGAATACCCGGTGCGTTATCCTCCACATCGCAAAATTATCCGCCTCCTCTCAAACCTCACGACAACACATCCTCAAAAGCCAGCGTCGCCACTTTGATTTCGACCTCGACGGCCTGTTGACAACGATCCTTTGACCCCCCTCAACAACGGACCCTCGATCCACACATCTTCCTCCATCCGCGTCTCTCCCTCCATCCGCGTCTCTCCTTTGATCCACGTCTCTCCCTCCATCTGCGTCTCCCCCTTGATGCCTATCTCCCCCTCGATGCCCATATCTCATCCTTGATGCGCGTCTGCGCAGAGCTTCATCATTGGTATGATCTTTCTTTATTTTTGGCACGCGATTAGCGCTGCCATAGAGCTAAGATTGTTTTAGCGTTTGATCGAACATCGGCGAGGACACTTGCCTTCTTTTGAGGGCCCATTGAGGTCAGATCTTAAAGGTATATTGTTGTGATTGGTGTGATTGACGCAAGGCTACAGGCTACAGGCCACAGCTTCCTTCTTTAGCGCTTGCAGCTGATTCTTCGTGTATTTTCAGTTTTAATTTAAAATATATTTAATTTAATCCATTTGAGCCGGATTGAAGCCTTAGCTAGCCTTAACTACGGCTAGCCTTAACTACAGCTAGTCCAACCAGGCCAGGCCGTACATTATGTAAGCTATAACCTCGCACTCAGCTCAGCTATCCACGGCTCCGGCCGCGGCTAAAACCGGCAGTAAGCCGGAGCCGCGGCAACACTACTTAATAGTAACTTAAAATGCATTTAAGGGACCAAAAATGAAAATTCAGAGCAATGCGGGAAAAGTCACAAAAAGGCCACTCGTCCTCTGATTTCGACTTAAATTTCCTTTATACTTATTTGATGGCCATTTTTCAGACATTATAAATGAGAGAACAGCATCTTAGAAACCACTGCGCCGTCTATTAAAAGTAAAAAAATGTGTAAAAACATGGTATAAAGTAGTAAAAAATGTGAGTCCAAGCAGACACAAAGAGAAACGCAGTGCAAGATAATAGCAAAAACGCAAACCAGAAAGACGCAGACACAGCTCCAAAACCAACAGAAAAGCAGCCTAGGGTAAATGCCGGATGAGTAGTACCACGAGGACGATCTGCACAAGCTCTGTTAAAGGGAGTCGTTTGGACGCAAAAAATGAGAAAATACCGAAAGCTAAGTCATCAAACCAAGAGGCGCACGTCGAGTTCTTCAGAGTCGTCGTCAGAAATGAAGTCTTCAAGTCTGGACTTGGATTTCTTGAGAAGCTTCCAGGACATCGAGGTGATATCACTCATGATATCTTTGCCCTTCAGACAAGAGGCGTGCAAAAGGAGAATCCCGAACACAGAGCTCGCCTTTACATAAGCTAATGAACCTTAATATACAGCCACTCTAAGTTATGAGTGACACATTTTGAGTTTCTCGCCAGCGGCCTCAAATCATCGTGAAATCGTTTGGCGAGTACCATAAAGGGGGTGTTTTTACTACTGTAGAATAGATATAGATAGTTATTTTAATGAAACATGAGCATGTAAACATGATACCTGCTAAATGTCAGATCTTGGATGTGATTTTTGAGAACACGTGACTAATTAATATCAATATGACGCGTCAATTCGACGCGTCTCGTCAGCACATCCTGCGTGCATTGAGTAACACGCCAGAAGAGGTTGCTTTGAAAGAACCGGTACATTTTGTTAAATTGCATTTTTAGTTTACACTTATGACTATCTACAAGGTTGGCAACACACTTCCATGCGGCTTTTGTGGGCGTTCCGGACAACCAGAGTGTGCTATCACTATCACTGTGCCTGTGAAAGCCGCAACGACTTGGGACACCAAGTGCGCATACCAGCACCAATTCCGATACACGTCCGCCGATGTCGGTTCGAAGAATCAACCGTGCCGCAACCTACCATTGAAGTGTGAACTCTGTCACCCTGTTCTCCCTCCAGCACCCGGCAAGACAACAAGAAAGACACCTATCATCCCAGTCAGTGCTGTTTGGCACTACAATATGCATGAGCACATTTTACAGGAGCACAAGGAATATGTGGTACCGGGACAGAGAGATGCTGGTTTAGCGCTGCCTGCGAATGTTTGGAAGGAGATGAGACTCACGGACTTGGAGCAGACCGCTTCACGCATCCCGAAGACATGTTGGCAGCCTTCCTATACTCCCCCGGTCGAGATTGGGAAGGAGAACATACCTCTGTTGATTTCCTGCAGTTCAAAACGCTCTGCCGCACCCCAGGCAGGTCCATCTTGTCCTTCAAAGAAGGCTCGAACAACTATTCCAGCAGCTCTTTCTGCACTCGGTGCTTGAGTTATTACTTGACGGCGGACTTATGCCAGTCGTCTACGTACTTCATTCATTGTATTGCTGCAACTTGTACATTTTGCTCTGTGATTGTTCAGTCGATTCGTTTTTTCAAACGACTACCTAATATGGATAAATTGCGTGATCGGTTACGCTGTCACGGTAGGCGTAGGGGGTACCCAAGTTCTGACAGGTCAGTGTGCTGAACTCTAGTTTTGCACGCCTCTTGCCTTCAGATGAGCCAACTTCGAAAATGAGTGCGTAGCTGGGCCCCAATTGTTTACCGAAAATGCATGGGCAGTCGAGGTCTCCTTCCTGGTGGCCTTGTTCAACACCTTCGGTGTTTTGACCATGAGCTTGCATTGCGCCGGGGGAGCTGCAAGTACATCCTCGATATTAATTACGTTGTCTTTGATGAGCTTGAGGGCGCGTTCCAACTGCACAATAAATTAGCTTCATTTTCGAGCAAAGAAAGAAAAACTTACCACAGCAGCAGCTATCCCAACAACACCACTAATCCCACTCGCAGTGAGGGCCTCAGTGTTAAGTGCCGGAACATTGGCATGGCCAATTGTTGCTTGGAGGTGGCCGGTGGCCACCAGCTGGAGCATAAATGGGGACCGGTGTAGGGATTCATTTCTGGCTGGGCTTGTAGAGACTGTTTTTACCTTACCTTATATTGGCACTTTTGTAGCTTACATAAGCAAGTTACCTTTTCACCAGTTACCAGTATGAGTCTGAGTCTTGAGCAGTTTTTATGACATTTCCTCTCCTCTGAGCCTTGAGCCTGGTCCAGAAACCCTTTAGGGTCGAATAGCAGCTAGGTTCTGCAAGACCCAACATTGTTCAGACTCACCATCTAAATTGTTGTACCTTCACCGGAAAGTCTTCATCTTGTCAATGACATCCGGGTCTTCATAAAGGAATCCGAAATCCGAAAGAAGATACTCAGCGAGGTCACTGGGGCTAGTGTCATCATTCCAAGCCATAAAGTCAATGATGATGGCGATGGCGGTAGAGCCAAAATTGCTGCGCCACTCAGAGAGGCGTTGATTGGTCTAAAATGAAGTGCGTGAGAGGGGGAAAAATGAATGGTAGACGAGCATACAACACCAAAAACAGAGCCTTGCAAGGAGGGTGCATACTTGACCTCTGGATAGACAACTTAAAAGATATGGTTAATAGCTTCCAGGAGGGCGTCATCACTAATGTTCCAAAGGTTCGGCTGACTTCCTGCCCACAAATAGATGGTCGGAAGAAATACTTTTGGCCAGCGTCCATCCTGACAAGTGGGGGGAAGATCTGTGTTCCGGTAGGCCGATCAAGCCTTGATCGTTTCAACCCAAGGGCCATCATCCGCCTGTGTGGACGCCAAGGGAGTGTCTGACAGGTCCGTTTGTTCGGTCTTGACCTTTAACGCGGTCTTGGCCTTCTTTGCAGGTGGTACCTTAGTGTCAGTAGTCATAATGGTAGTCTGGAGAATATAAGTTAAGTCTGATCTGTATGTGAAAAAACAATGCACCGAGGATGTTGTTCGTGAGGCCTTCTTGATATCGACAACCATGGGTTCCTGCGTTCCCTGCAGATCGTCCGAGTCAATCAACATTCCAGTGTCACTGACAAAGCTAAGGCTAGCTAGTGAAGACTCCTCCAGGTCATCAAAACTCTCCACGGTCTTGAGGCTGGGCCCTGATGCCAATTTCCGTTTCATACCACTTGCGAATTGGGTGGCGTGAGGTTGGCGAGGCTGAGTAGCCGGTGGGGGAATGCCATTTGACTTTTCTGCAGCCAAGTGGCGAGCAGCCTGTAACATACGAAGTTGAGATGACGGTGGGGGATGGTCACTGAATTTTGGCCCAGGATGTAACTATGCGCCCCCAAATGACAATGAACGGTCAAATATTATTTCAATAACCAAAAAAAATGCATACCTTGCTGCCAGGTTCGACATCTTCAGACTCCGAGTCAGTAACATCGTCGAACTGGAGGATAGGCTTTGAAAAGCATTAGTTTGATGAATTAGAGTAGAAAATAACATACCTCAACCGGTTGTCTTCCTGTCTTCATCACTTCAGATGCAGCCTGGCGTTCGTATGAGTCGTCGATATCTTCATCGCCGAATCCTCCAACCAGATCACTGATAGGAATGGCAGACACATCGGAACCTTTGGCTGGAATGGCTTTGGAGCTTATGCTAGTCACATTTGAAGTAGCCGTTGTCGCAGAGTGGGAGAATATAGTGGATGGAGGGACAGAGGCTTTCGAAACAGAAATCAACCGCCGGGAGCCGCCATTTTCGGATGAACAACTTGAAAGACTTGGTACTACATCTGAAGCCCAGGCCTTGATACGGTCAGGATATGAAGATTTGACAGCGGACCTGAATTCCGCTGTCAAATTAAGAAAGAAGAGTGTCGACTCAGAGAGTAGTAACATGGGAGTTAAGAAGACAACATACATCGGTAAAGAGTTTCCTTTCCTGTCTGCAAGATCAACACGTGCAAGCTCAGCAGCCTTCGAATTCATTGATTTCAAGCGTGCATTAACCGCATCTCTGAGTGACTTCTTTCCAGGCTTCAGTTTTGAAACACCCTCAAACACTTCAACGTTCATGTCATCCTCCCCAATATCCTCCGTCAGTTGGCCCTGCTTTTTCTGACCTTCTCTCTGATCCCCATGTCCTCCACCCTGCACAGCGGCTGCCGGCTGAGGCTGTGATGAAGATGTCACCTTGGCTGCAACCGGACGTGGTCTAACTGGCTTTGGCTTTCTGACCGCCTCGGAAGCCTGTGCCGCTCCATTTCGGCCTGTATATTTGCGAGGCGCTCGATACCTTGCAGGGCAGCTAGTTCCTTTGTTTTGAGGTTTTCTTTGAGATGTTTGTTGTCAGCAGCTATTTCAGCTTTGGTACATCATTTCCTAGTTGCGTTGAGCACAACCTGACCAGGATGAGCATCAGCGTTTTTCGCGCATGTTCTACAAGCAGTGGTTCCGGCTGCTGAAGACATTTTGCTGGGGTCGGTAGAAGCAAGATACAGATAGTGAGGGATACGGTTGGTGACGGGAGAAGCTCAGGTTAGCAGATTTGACTTTCAATGAAATTTGTATGGTTCATGACCAAATAAACATTGTATTTTCGCAGGCCTTCTCAATCAACTTGAGGATGTGAAGTACCTGCCACTGCACATACACCATTCCTATACCCCAAGATGCTTATTTCTGTTGTTTTCACTCTGTTATAATGCCTGCCAATGCAACAAAATACTGTCCTCGTCCGGACCACAGTACCCTCCAGCTTCCTTGCGGCCATCCGAGTTGCCAGCGATATTTCAAGACTGCTGCTGGAAGGACAAAACATAGGCTGTCAGCGCATCCAATAATCCCACAACCTGTCTCAGCTCCCTGTCCACCTTTTCCCGAACTCTTGGACCCAGGAAATGACCAGCAGCGTGAAGATGATGTTCCTTTCAATGCTGATGAAGTCCCTAGGCCATCGTCTCCACCTGCTGATGTCAATGCAAAATTTTATGGACCGGGAAAGCAGTTTTATCGAAATTATCATAAAGGTCTTGATGGTGAGTGATGTCGCACACTTCGTAAAATAAAATTCTAATGTCTGCTTTTGTTTAAAGGTCGACCTTGTGACGAAAACAGTGTGTTTCTTTCTCCGGGCACTCTGCCACCTCCACTTGTTGAGCATCCTGCTGATGACTGGACACCATTTTGGAATCGGATTGAATTCGAAGCTGCTGAATTCTTATTTTGCAAAGATCAAATGTCCGCCTCCCATATTGACACCTTACTTGACCTGTGGGCCGCTACACTTGCAAAACACGATGATCATCTGCCCTTTGCTAATCACCGAGACTTATATCAGACAATTGATAGTATTCCGCTTGGAGATGTGCCATGGCAGAATTTCGCAGTCAAATTTTGTGGTGACAAACTGGACGTCGACATTCCACCATGGATGAACGGCTCTTACGATGTATGGTTTCAAGATCCATGTGAAGTCGTCCGCAACATGCTCGCAAACCCAATGTATGCAGATGAAATGGATTATCAGCCCTACTGTGAGTATGCCTCAGCAACTGATGAACGCCAGTGGAAGGACTTCATGTCTGCTGATTGGGCATGGGATCAGGCGGTAAGTTTTTAAATACAGTGCAATATATATACTTATACACTATTGCATACAGGACGAAATTTCCAAAGATCCTGACACGGTTGGGGCAACCTTTGTTCCCGTTATTCTCAGCAGTGATAAGACAACCGTCTCGGTTGGCACGGGCAACAATGAATATTACCCGCTATATCTTTCTATCGGCAATGTTCGAAACAATGTCCATCGTGCACACTGAGATGCAATTGCTGTCATAGGATTTCTCGCCATGCCAAAAAGTAAGGTTCATTCAATTTTCATGCTAATCACAGGTGCTAACAGTAGGTTTTATATAAAGCTGCATGAGTGCACGCTGAGGATCCGAAGTTCCGAAAGTTTCGTCGTCAGCTGTTTCACTCTTCCCTTTCGAAAATTCTTCAGCCCCTCAAGCCTGGAATGACGAAACCCGAAGTGGCTCGTTTTGGAGACGGTCACTTCTGTCATGTTGTCTATGGACTCGGACCCTATATCACTGATTATGAAGAACAGGTCCTGTTGGGATGCATCGTCAAACGCTGGTGTGCAAGGTAAGTATCTCCGAGCCTTACACTACTACTTGTTCCTCATCAACTGGCAACACATTTATAGGTGTCTTGCATCACGTCTTAACCTTGATGATGATGCCTTGGACCATTGCCGCGAATATGTGGATGCTCTGGTGGAGGAAGGTACTCTATTGGAGATCTGGGATGATTATGGAATTGTTGGTGACATTGTGGTGAGTACATTTTCTTTTGGATACGGTTATTGAATTGCTGGACACTGTCGTCCAGCATGAGGATCAGTGTCTCTCGACGCTTTTTCATTTATGTTTCGTCTGCCAATCTTCTCTTTTCAAGTTGTGCTAACTTCATTTAACTTCCCAGCCATTTACCAATGATTTCCCCCGCGCTGATATAAACCGACTCATTGCCCCTGATCTCCTTCACCAGCTGATCAAGGGAGCTTTCAAGGACCACCTTGTAGATTGGGTGGAGAAATATTTGTTACTGACCCATGGAAAACGCGAAGCTCAACGAATCATGGACAACATTGACAGAAGGTATGTTTCATTTTTTGTCGTGAGACTCAATCATTCATCATGATATACAACAGAATTGCGGCTGTTGCATCCTTCACAGGTTTACGACGTTTTCCTGAGGGACGAGGGTTCAAACAATGGACCGGAGACGACTCAAAGGCACTTATGAAGGTTCAATTTTCTTAAGTTTCGTTTCTTGCTGCTCATTGTTGGCAGGTGTATTTGCCTGCAATTGAGGGCCACCTTCCACAGGACATTGTACGCGCCTTTCGCACACTTTTAGAGTTTTGTTACCTTGTCCGCCGCAACATTATCACAGAGAAGACCCTCACCAAAATTCAAGATGCGCTCGCACGATTCCACCACTACCGCGAAGCATTTCGAGATGCAGGTGTTGTTCCCACATTTTCCTTGCCACGTCAGCACTCGCTCAAGCATTACATCCAACTTATACGACTTTTTGGTGCCCCGAACGGCTTGTGCTCATTGATTACCGAGAGCAAGCATATCAAGGCCGTAAAGGAGCCTTGGAGACGCTCGAGTCGCTTCAATGCACTTGGTCAAATGCTGCGGACCAACCAGCGGCTGGATAAGCTCGCTGCTTTACGTGTCGACTTCACCAGGCGCAATATGGTGAGCGGTACATGTTTATCTGCAGTCGTGATGGCTCTTCGTATGTACCAAATTTTATTTGCCAAGTCAATAACACTAATTTTTCCTTTGACAGGACAATTTTAAGACCTTGATGACGCAGGAGGTGGCCATGCTTGTGCCACTGACAGTGCACCTCTGAATGGCTCGAACGCCAATGTTCTGGATGTGGATGAAGGTCACGACGATGGTGAAGTGGACGATGAGTCTACAGTGCTACAAGCAGATGTCCAGCTTGCACAAACACCCCGTGCGTTTATCAGATTGATACCTCCCATTCATTGCTAATATTGCTTTAGAATGACAACGTGCCAAAATGATTGCTGCGCTCGCAGTAGAATTAAATATCGCACATTTACCCAACCTCCTCCGACAATTCCTCTTCGAACAGAAGCATCCGAATGACACTCGAGACATCTCTGAAGTTTCAGAGTTCCACTTCCCTCATTACGACGGCGGAATCTCTGTCTTCAACTCCGCTTCATCAAGATTTTATTCGCCGAGTGATCTCAGTGGCATTGGAGGCATGCGCATGGAATACATTTGTGCATGTCGTCAGTGGCGAAACGGACATGCTTGCAATGACTGCATATTCATTAACATGAAACCAGAGCTCGAGGGCATGCAGGGATTTGACATTGCTCGTGTTCTGTGTTTTTTTTTCCTTTACTTTTCAAGGAACGACTTACCCCTGCGCAGTTATTTGGTGGTTCGACACTGTTGGCGACTCTCCTGATGAGGACACTGGGATGTGGATTGTGCAGCCAGCCTATCGTGCTAATCACTCCCCGCATATGTCTATTATTCACATTGATTCGATTTATTGCGCAGCACATTTAATTCCAGTCTATGGCGCACAGTTTGTTTCTCATGACCTCAAGTATTACCAGTCTTATGATAGTTTCCGAGCTTACTATGTTAATAAGTATGCAGATCATCACGCCTTTGAGATTGCTTTTTAATTTACTTCACACTTTTTTCGAGCTTTATATTTGTTGGATCTTTGCACACAATGTCATCTCTTTTCACGTCTTTTTCGTCTTACCTGCCTGAATTACTATTTCGTAAACATATCCGACTTTTCGAAGATCCACTTCCAGAGGAAAAAGCTGCCGAAAGGTACAATAAGTTACCTAAGTGCAATCAAGAGATCCGTTATTTTCCTGATGACTGGGCCCATACATAAGGATACTCGATATTGATATGTCGGCCGGTGGCCAGACAACACAGGCGGTGGAGCATGATATTGTCAGCTGGGCCGATGTAGCATATTGTGGCTGTGTGTACCGGTCGGCCAATGCCAATGCTGGGTATGAAGCCATCATGCAGGCCCATGCAGAATATATGTCCTGTGCATATCAGCTGGCCCATATGGAATACATTCCTTGTGCGTATCGGTCAGCCAATGGTGGGTATGAGGCCATCAGATGGGCCAATGGAAACGAAAACCTGATGCTATCAGGTGGGCCGATAGATAATAATGCCTGATGCAATCGGGTGGGCCAATGGAACTGATTCCATCAGATAACCGATATAGAAGAATACCTGATGCAATCAGATCGGCCGGTGGAAATGGATTCCCGATGCAATCAGGTCGGCCAATATAAAAGAATCCCTGATACAATCGGGTGGGCCGATAGAACTGATACCATCAAGTGGGCCGACGTAAACGAATGGCTGATGCAATCCGGTGGGCTGATAGAACTAACACCATCAGGTGGGCTGATAGAACTAACACCATCAGGTGGGCCGATGTAAATGAATCCATGATGCTATCGGATGGGCCAATGTGAACGTATCCTTGATGTTATCAAGTCGGCCGATAGAACTGATGCTATCAGGTGGGCCAATGTAAACGAATCCATGATGCCATCGGATGGGCCGATGTGAACGTATCATTGATGTTATAAAGTCAGCCGATAGAACCGATGCTATCAGGTGGGCCGATGTAAACGAATTCTTGATCCTATCAAATGGGCCGATATAAAATGAATTCCCGATGTTCTCAATGGGGCTGATAGAAATCATGCTATCAGGTGGGCCGATGGACATCAGTACCTGATCAAATCATGTGAGCCAATCGGGATGACCCTCTAATTCTATCAGGTGGGCCGATGCAGAATGGGACTCCTATGCTGATCGGTTGGCACATATCAGTTCGGTCAGTCGGTCTCAAGGAAAGATGACTTTGGGGAATCAACACCATTGATTCAAATTGATCTGCAACCTTGTGATGAATCCATCCACAAAGATACATGTAACTGTAATGTATTATTATGCTTGATCACGAATCCATCTGGGCTAAAACCGAGACATCTCAATATACATCCATGTATGTCGCATACTGTGGCCGAGGTGTCCCCACAAAGTTGTGAAGGCTATCGCGCATGAACCATGTCCAAACTATGTGATCACCGGTGAATGTGATGCCATGCCTGATGATGTGTCCAGAGCAAGCAACCATTGCACCAGAGTTATAGTGCAACTGTATACCGAGGTTGGACAGGGTCATGAGCCCACCACAATAGTGGCCGACACTAGTCATGACATTGAAGCCTTCTGGAGCAGATCTTGGATCTCGGTGAAGAGGGCATTGCCTGTTGCAAATCACAGCTGCGCAGTTGAACACCGAGGCCCAAAGTTGCATACAAGTATATATGTGATCAAGGCTGTTGTCCATGGCCCAGCGAGCGAGTTTGATCTGTGTGGTAACTGCATTGCTCCCATCAGCTGATGATTAGCATCAGTGCAAGTCCTGTATGAGAGAAAAATGACCGACCAGTTGTTCAAAGTGGTCCTGTGTCATCTCCATGACCTCATGCATGTTCAAGACCGGCAGCTCCGACCCCAACCGGTCAAAGCAATCTTTCCACCAATCATAGCGGTAGCTAGAAACCACTTGGTGAATGTACCTAAGTTGAGGGTTATGTGGAGAGCAATGCTCAAAGAATTCATCATGCAATTGCTCGGCCGTGATGGTTCCAGTTTGAAATTGGGAAAATCTTCCGATGATGCCGTGAAGGAGGTCAGGCATGGTTGGATGAATGTTCAGTACCAACGATATGTTGATATAGGGGAACACAAAACGCTGATGTAGGCATCAGCCACAAGATCATAATGACCGACCGACCGATGAAGCACTTACATCTGCCTCCCACTGAAGGTGCCGGATAAAACTTGTTTTGTAAGCTGGCGTCCGAGGTATATGGTTCCGGTCGCATGCAAGCTAGATGGCGGCCAATCAAGAAGTAGCAAACTCTAAGACGTTTGCAGCATCCCATGCAGTAAAGTCACTAAGTTCATAGGTATAGAGTGTAGAGGAGTTGGACATGATGTTTGTAGTTTTGATTAGTGCGGAAAAAACTTTTATGGGAATTGGCATTGTGCTATTGACTAATCCACCATGGCACTTGCCGATGGCCGAATGCAGTTGTGGCTGCATGTGGACCCTTGTCACTCTACCACCACCACCAGCCCTTTTGTTCTGTCGAAGCTATTTTGTGCATGCTGTGAGAGTCGGAGATAAATTTGAGCCTGGCGGGCAGCATAGCAGCTGTGCCCGACCATGTGAGTTGCATCGGCCTGCTGCATTCGGCCGACCCATTGTTGGGATTTGTGAATAAAAAATTCAACCGTCCAAATCATTTCCCGACCGACCAACAGCAGCTCCTCTGCCCAACGATCACGCAGGGTCAGCGTCCTAAGCCAATGCACTCGGTAAACTATCACACATCAATCAGCATAACGCAGGAACAGATAGGTCGGCAAAGTACGCACATTCATTCATCCAATCATTGTTTGCAGAATCCCCCTCCACATCAATGGACCAAAACCATGCTAATGTGTTATTCCTTTGACCATGTACGTTCGGGTCTGCCACCACAGTAGTAGCCTTGAGGTCGGCCTTCTCCAACGGCCGGTACTTGGTCAATAAGTCATCGGCGCCGAGGTGAATGAGTTGCTTGTGGCATTTTGAGTATATTTGTGCATTCAGGTGAAGAACCTTGTCAACCGAGTGCACCCGGGCCCATGCCCTAGTTGACCGTGCTTGCGACTTTGCTGACCAAACCGTTGTGCAAAAGAGAATGGCCTTGTCTGCTAAGTTAACCCTGATGGCATGCAATGCATCATTTGCTTGGCCTTCTCTTAATGATATTTCTTGCAGGACCAGGTCCGCAACACCCCACTGGGCACACCTTTCTATGCTGATATTGGACGGCAATGGAATCACCACAGTCTCAAGATTGAACTCTACCGGTATATCATATCGGTCTTCATCATCTGGCCTATCGGGCTCCTCGCACGATGACCCGACGGAGTCCAATTCTGCTGTATCCAACATCACTGTCATGCCATCCAAATGGTCACAGCGGTGTAATTCATCACCGAGAAATGTTACTGCGACCCTGACGAATTCATCAAGTTGTCCTTGTAATCTGTCACGACGCCGGGCTATGGCCAACTTCTGTGTGTCCATTGGCCGCTTTCCCAACTTCTTTACATCAATGAGGAGGGCCACTTGCGACTCCTCCAGTGTAATTCCACAGGCCAGCCAAGTTGCTGCACCATGATGGATCTCGCCGGCAGGCCATTGTGCCTGGCGATTCAACAGGTGCAACTCTTGCTGTTTTCTGGTTGGCGCTTTGCCAAAGCATATCAGTGTATTGTACATAGATATTCCATTGCAACGGACATTTTTTCAATCGAACTTTGTATATGTCCATGGAGCTGGGATTATGGAGTCGGTCATCCTGAGCGGCAACGGCCTCTGCTTCCCATTTAACAAGGGTGTCATCCTCGGCGGTCTCGCTCAACCGGTCAAATGCATGTCGGCTGTCCTGGACTCCCTGCACAGCCTCCTTAAATTTTCTGCAAAGGAATTTGCCTAAATGCATTTGTATTTGTGAGCTCGGTACAATGATATTCCTCACTGATGCGTATCATCTTCATAAAATTGCAGTCATTCATTTGAAAGTCTAAACACTCCTTTCGGTGGGGGGTGGACATCCCCCTTGCCGACAGTGATATGATGTTCAAGGGCGCCCACAGGGTCTCCATGATTTCGCTGTCGATCCTGGCGGCACCAGTTATGAAGTTGGATGCATACTGCACATAGCATTTGTCTTGATGGCTGTGGACATGCCAGAGCCCAATACCAGGAATAATGTCCATTCCCCATGGAAGGTCAAGATAAGGCGACTCCTCAATCTGCTTCCTGAGATGCTTGTTGTATTGACAATTAATGTCATAGAATGTGAACGCCTGATCGATCCCATAGGTGTTGTACCCCAGAGCTTGACAAAGCGCATAATCCATGTTCATCTGCCTTTGGCCGACAAACTAATCAGTTCAACCTGTCCGATTTGGCAGTTTGAACAGCGAACCTTTCCCCCTTCTGAAAGTCCACCATTGAATGAGGAACAAAACACCCATGTCTCGCGCACGCACACCCGCCTATCCCTGTTGCCTCCAGCTTGTGGCGGGAGGCATTGGCCTGGTTGACCGCTCGGTGGTTGTTACATTCTGACCTTTGTACAATGTCCTGTGCCTGGGATAGATGCATTTTGTATCGGTGTAGAGACTCATGCCTCTCATGGTGTGATATGGCAGTATTCACTAGGGAGTACACAGCATGAACTTGCAGCATCACTCTGTATGCTGTCCGCAGCTATTCCTACATGAGGCGCAGCTTTCCCATGCAACGCGCAACATGCGCGCCACTTCCCGCGCTTCACGACGTATACGCGCGCGCGCTTTCCCACGCTTGAGCGCCCTATAGCGCCAGCCATCCGGAAGCATCCATCCACTGTCCACCAAGTTCTCTAGTGCGTATGTTTCCATTTCTCTTATCTGTGTATTGTTCCACCTTTATTTTTATCATGGACCCTTACTTACATACATATATCTTTGCATACCTTACTCAGTAGCGATTCGGCTCCACATGACAGCGCTTAGGCGCCATATAAGCACCAGCATTACATACCTAACTCACTTTCCAACTTTCAATTTTTACCTCCCACTTACCCACTTACTACCTAGCAGAGTATAGTTGCAATCTATTCCTTGGCACCTCGCACTCACATCTTTTTGTCTTGCATCATATCACCACTTAAGCAAACTCACTCTTACTCTCTCATTTCCACTCACACGCGCACCTTCGCTTTCCTGCGCCTTGCATGCACCTTCGCTTCCCGCGCCTTGCGCGCACCTGCACTTTCCCACGCTTCGCATCAGCCAACCAGTAGCGCCTACTTCTAGATCCTTGCTGCACTTGCTTCCCCTTTAGGGTTGAACGCACTTGTCGTCTCAAGTATAGCAGACTAGGCAACGCGCGACCTCACAACATTTATAGATACAGTCAGGAGCATCATTTGTTCCTCTCAGTATTGTTGTTTCTACATCGGGCATCGCTGACCATGAAGCCCAAGCCATCAGTCAATGCCACCTCATCGGTCAGATTGGTGGGATACAAATGCTCGGCCTTAAAATTGCCATCCATAACCAAAGATCTGGAATACAGCCACACAGGGTCAGACTCATTTCTCTCCGACAAATTGAGGTTTACACCGGGCTGAGGACATGCAGGACAGAAGAGTGCAAGCTCCCCCTCCTTTGGCTTTTGCTTCTCATGACCAAACCCATGCCACTTGAGCTGCTTCACTTGTCTCCACTGCCTGCCGACCCTCATTAATCTCTATACCGGTCCTTTCAGCCATTTTAAGCAACACAATGCAGGGAATCCATGTGACTCACTGGAACCAGATGAGGGAACACGCTGGAGGTGATTCACCTTAATTTACTGTAGTAGTTCATTGCCGATGTCCCGCATTCCAAGTTGTCCAGCAGGAAGTCGTCCAACACCGCAAATGTGAATGCCGTCTTCGGCGAAGTGAAAGACGCAGGGAAGAGGCTGGTTTCTAATAGTTGCATGTCAGGGCTCATTGCGTCGGTGCACTTACAGAATCTGATCATCAAGGAGTGGAGCCCGGAAGTATCCACCACCGTGGTCAATCGAGGATCGTTAATGAGGGGTATCCATGGGCCTTCAGTCAAATGGTCTCCTTCATCATCTGTATCACACCATTCATCAGTCAATCCAGGGCAAGGCTTGCCTGCATGGCCAAGGTGGACTTCCAACCCGATCTTGGTCAATGACGTGTCCTTGAAGAATCCCCCGGTCCATTGACTGATCCGATGGAAAGGCATGCGGCTGTGAATCGTCCGACAACAATGAGTGCAGAAGAGCAGTTCACCCATGCAGCCATGACATCTGTAGACTCTGTCCTTTAGACAGACCGAGCACATCCTGTTTGAAGGTGGACCCTCTCGCCAAAGTAGCAAGTCCAAGTAGTCCTCGGTCTTGTACTGCCACTCGCGCAGATAGTCATTTTGACTCTTAATATTTGGTGTCAGTACATGGGACAAGGCAAGTGAATGGTGAACTTGCCATGGACTTGCGAAGACAAAAAGGCTCCAAGTTGCACTCGCCCAGGTCATAGCGTTCATAGTCACCCTCCGCATGAAGTCCTCTGGTGGATTGCTGCTTGGTAGGCGATTTTTTGGGTGATGAATGGACCGATGTTGTTCTGCTGTAACGTCAAGCTTTGACAAATCGTCCTGTATCTCCTCTAGATGTTCTTTTGTCCTCCCATTGAACCAAGGAGGATTTCTTCGGAGGACTCCAGGCCTTTGGCTTTGACTTCACCATAGACCGAAGTAGTGCTATGATTGTCGGGATGTGTTGTTTAAAATAGGATGCTTAGACTTTGGGACGGTTTGGTGCTTACATGCAACTGCCAAATGCAATGCATAGTATGTAATAGTCACTTTGATCTCTTGCAAATCATCAGCAGGGATATTCATGGGGCAATGTCAATAGTTCATAGTGATTGTGTATATAGTACATCAAGAGCACTTCAGGACCTCTGATTTCACTCCACACACTCAACCATGCATCTAAACCACTCAATCAGTCTTGTAGAAACTAAGCTCACGCTATTCGGCACAATGTAGCCCTTACATGTACTTATGACATGGGTATGTCACTGATGTGAATCTTTGCTCACATGACCTCATAGAAGCTAGGCTCACTCTATTTGGCACAATGTAGCCCTTACATGTACATATGACATGAGTATGTCACTGATGTTAATCTTTCCTCACATGACCCTTCCTTCCATTTTTTGTTGCATCAACCACATCAACACTCTCCTGCACTCACATTTCCGGGTCCTTTACGCTACTGTGACATGGCTCGGACGAAGATCAATATAGCGGATCAGCCTCGGTTGAATGACCGAGAGACCACCGCTCTGCTGTCCCACATTGAGGACTGGGAGAAGGCAAGTGGAACTGAGCGACGACAGATCTTCAAAGCGGCTGCCAGAGAGGCCAGACTCTTGGCTCCAAAAATGGACCAAGAGCTCTTGAAGCAACGAAAAGAGGTAGGTGTTTCGGCTTTGATGTCGGGTTGTGCTGCATTACAGTCACCATGAACAGAAATACAGGCAGTGGTTCCACAATCACAAGAAACACAAGGCCAATGCCAAAGCGCCAATGAAGCTGCAAAAGAAATGGATGGCACGCTGGGTCATTGAAGAGCAGTGGAAGGCCGACATTCTTCAGCAAATACATGAAGAGATTGAGGAGGAGACTGGGCAGAAGCCTGGGCAGAAAGAAGTCCTCAGGAGGTATCAGCCAACGATGACGGCAATTATGAAAGGGCTGAATGAAAATGAGTTGAAGGAGGCCTGGGTGAAGGCCGATGAGTGGACAAATCAAGCGCCTGATGCCGCAGTCCAAGCCAAGACGGCTAAAAAGAAGGGCGAAAAGATGATCAAGCACTTCACAAAGGAGATGTTTACTCAGGCCGGTATGAGACTCTTTGTATTGGGATCCTGGAAGGATGAGAAGGGCAGCCTGCTTACATCCGGGCAGATTGATTCAGTCGGTCAGTCATATCGGTCATTGTACTTACATTGTTCGGCAGGTTTGACTTCAATGAACACCTGGGTATGGGCTCCAGCTTCATGAAATGTAAGGACTGGCAGGTCATCTTACCGGCATGGGAAGATTTCATTGGTGATGCATTCAGTGAGTCTCGAGACATTTTGATGGTGCTTCATTTAATCCATGTCACGTCAACCAAGACCAGGATCAGGACCAGGACGGCACGCTGCTCGGAGGCACTCACCAGGTTCCAAAACCTCACTATGAGTTTGACCTGGACCGCATGGGTTTGCCGATGTTACCCGATATTGAGGATGTCTCGCTCGACACTAAGAAGGGAATGATTCAGTCATTCCTCACCATTCATTACCGTAAGCCTGTTAATAGAAAATCTGCAGCATCATCTGATGCCCGCTACCACAGGAATATGCTGTGGAAAACTGAAGGTCCCAGTGCCTTGGAGCGACATAATGAAGGGACAGTCCAGATTCATCTCCAGCACATACCTGCCAGATGACGCAAAAATCATGGAGCCATCTAAAATGCACTGGGATGAAGCCAATGCCTTGTTGGAATGTTGGTTGGACCGACAGGACAACCAGGTCGGACTAACATTGAAGTTCAAGGCCTGGATTGACGACAAGGGCAAGATGCACCCTCCTGTCGGTGAGGAGTCTGAGGAGTCTGATGGTGATGCTGATGATGAGGGCGTGTGGCCCAGGCCAACCAAAACATCATCGGCAACCACGGCACTGTCACTGGTAGGCATTGCCAAACGGCAGCTGAGGTTCATCAAACGAGTTCATGTCAGCTCCACTGAAGAAGAATCTAACAATACCGATGCAGATGTGTCTCGCTCAAAGGTTAATGCACGCGCTCCCGACCATGCAAGGCAATGGGCAGATGCACAATACATACAGTGACCAGGTGGGACACCAGTCAGAGTCAGATGACCGGCCACCGCCCAAAAGCTTGGGGAAGAGAGTCAGAATTGAGCCTGCCATCGTCACACCGAGCAGACTCAACACATCAAGAACGACCAATGGTAGGTTCGGCCAGGAAAGTCTGCCATGATAGGAAAACAAGTGTTGCAAGGAAGACCCACATGCCCACAGCGCAGGTGAGCGAGGAATCAGAAGATGCCAATGTTCGCCACACTACCGGAAAGGCCAGGAATCAGTCAACTCGCACTCATCATACTGGCCAGCAAGCACGTGGCTTCAGCCCACATTCAAGTTGTCAGGGTCTCGAACATCTCCGTACGTCAACAGCAGGCCAGGACCATGTGCCATGCCACACCAAGGCTACCAGAGATGCATCACCAGTGGTAAATGACTAGTCGCCGAAGAAGACCAAGGCTACCAGTGATGTATCACTCACGGTAAATGACTGGTTGCCCAAAAAGACCAAGGCTACCAGATCGGTCACTCGGTCGCTCTCTGATGCACCAGCGAAGGGCACCAGGAGTGTTAAGACCGTGCACAAAGGGTAGGACTGATTCCAAGGGGCTTGGCTTCAGCTCGTGCGCTGTGCCCCTTACCCGAGTATGTGCCCTTAACTTCAGAATGAAGTCCGGAGAAAGTCCAGTGAAGTCCGAAGGACTTCCGGAAAAGCGTGGGAAACTTCGGAAGGACTTTTCGGATGAGTGCGAAAAACTTCCGGATGAGTGCGGGAAAGTTCCGGAAATTACGATGGAGTTTCGTCCTGATGGAGATATGTGTAATGGCTACTCAGGACAAGTCCTGAGTAGAAGCAAACAGAGGAAAGGCTGCAAGGACAAAGTCCGAAGCAGAATAGGTCCGGAGGACCGCAGGAAAGTTCCGGAGGAACTTCCGGAAACTTGGAGGATCGGAGGAATGGTGGATCGGAGGGTCGGAGAAGCAGAGGAGCAGAGGAGCAGAGGAGCAGAGGAGCAGAGGAGCAGAGGCGCAGAGGAGCAGAGGAGCAGAGGAGCAGAGGAGCAGAGGAGCAGAGGCGCAGAGGAGCAGAGGAGCAGAGGAGCAGAGGCGCAGAGGAGCAGAGGAGCAGAGGAGCAGAGGAGCAGAGGAGCAGAGGAGCAGAGGAGCAGAGGAGCAGAGGAGCAGAGGAGCAGAGGAGCAGAGGAGCAGAGGAGCAGAGGAGCAGAGGAGCAGAGGAGCAGAGCTCCGGCCTAGGGAATTCCTCCCTAGGCCTGAGATGGATGATTACTAAGTTGGAGGAATAGAACTGTTACGAGGACTTAGTGTGAAGACTAGTGCGAGGACTAATATGTGTAATATTCAGACTGAGGAAGTACAAAGATTCTACAGAGTTTATATACTACAGAGGACTTAATGGAGAGTCAGTCAGCGCAGTCCGAAGCTATGCGAGGCTGTGGACGGAGGATGTAGAAAAGTCAAACACTAGTCTATCAGAAAATAGTAAATGAAGACAGAGATGAAGACATAGGAAAATAAAGCCGGAAATGAAACAAGGTACGGAAAATGAGGAAGTCTAACTCAAGAAGGAACATACAAAGGGATAAGGCATGGAAGATAGACGCGGGTCGGATCCGGATGTCTGGAGATAAATGCGTGATAGGTCCGGGTCCGGAACGCGGGATATGACACTAACTTGAGAAGGAATATACAAAGGGAAAAGGCAAGGAAGATAGATGTGGGTCGGATCCAGATGTTCGGAAGTCCGAAGACAGGTGATTACCATAAGGGGATGGGCGCTGATTTAAGGTTTGGGTTCGGACATGACAGATAGGTCGGATCCGGAGATCCAGAGATGTGGATATCAGATCTGGCATCCGGATATCAGATGCAGGAGTACAGGGATCCGGACAGATAGAGGATTGGGTCTGGAGACATGGACAGGAGGTCCGGAGGTCCGGATGAGGCGTGGGAACGTCGTCGGATGTTGGTCCGGAATGCGGGATATGACAAGGAGCAAGGTTGACAATGCGCTTGGTGCCCGAATTCGGCAAAAGCCGAAGAGATATGCTGACTATGTGTAGTTGTTGGCGGTCTCATGCATTAGATAGCTTGTTCCATTCTACTCAAACATTGGTTATGTCGGTATATACTTGGTGTTACAAGTAACATCGGTCACATGGCCCCCCTATCATTTCCCCTTCATCCTCACCCTTACCATCTACCGGCTTGTCCTCCTCTACCGGATATCCATCGACCGGATCCTTGGGACCGTTCCCGTCCCTCGTCTCCACCCCATCATCCACCTTATCTCTGATAACGCACCAACGTGCGCACGTGCCTTGGCACCTTGACTCGTTCTGACTCACGCCACCAATGTGGCTTTCCCTTCTCGTCTCCCTTGACTTGCACCTGTTGTGCATTGTAACTTTACCGTTGGCCCAGTCCAACGTTCATCGGTCTCATTCTGCATTCGACCTCTCATCACTGATCAGGCTGTGTTGCCAATGTACCTATACCTTTTCCATTTTCCATTTTCCATTTCCCCTTTACCCTTACCTACAGTACAGTAACCCAGCCCTCAACCCTTTCTACTTAGTATAAGTAGTCGGTCATCTTGTATCAGATTCCCTAACTTGAATCTACTCAATCTTCCCTCAAAACTACTTCCTTCAAGAGCCTCTCAGCTCTTGTCTCTAGTATGACTTTCTTAGGTGCTCGTTGCACCTAAGTCTACCTCGATCGACGGTCATCGTTAGAACAAGACTGTTCTTCCTTTGACTTCAGTGACTTCATAGACAGCTGTCTTAGAAGTCACATGACACGCGCATCTGTGATATCTGCCGACTCGACATCACCAGTCTCACTCGCTACACCGGATCCTTCCAGTTACGTCACGAACGTTAGCGGACGATGCCCCTCTTAGGGCTCCGCATAACAGATCTATTTGAGTGCGTAACACTTGGTATTTGTGGGACATTGTCAGTCTTGGTACTCGGTCTTAAGTACATGTGGTATATATAGTGACATCTCTACTCAGTCTTCTACATCACTGGATTGGAGAATGTCCCCGGCCCATCTTTCTCATTGCAAGCAGCAATATATGAAGTGGATCATCAATCTCGCAGTGCATGTTCATGAGATGCTGAATTTTGGCAACATCATCGCTGGCGGTAAGAAATTGGTCACATGCATGCTGATATTCTGATATCAACACCCGGTTGGCATCCAAAATATTTGCCGACTTTTGTCCTCGGTCATCTCCTGTTGAGCGGTGGTCATTGTCATCACACTCATCACATAACAAATTTCAACCTACTCATCACAGCGGGAATGCTGTCAAGCCTCATATTTGCTCGGCTCAGCAATTCTTTGCCGGTGTCAACCATTTGACTAGGCAAGCCACTAATTGGTGCTGGAGATGCGGCCGGCGAGAAATTATCGAAACACATATCATATGATACCGGTGTGTCACCCGCTGCACCTGACTGTACTAACCCGTCACTAATACACAATTCCGACAAACCTGTATCAACCAAGTTGATGAGTGGTGCAGCAGTGGAAGCACTGTCAAAGTGATTATCTCCGCTCGATGGCACATCTTCCCAGCACATCTCGAAATTGGCTGAATAATTGTCAGTGACGGTCGGCAGTGTTGATCAACGATACTTACGTGCATATCCCACCGCCGATGCAAACGGACTGTCAATCCAACACATATCATATTGACCGGCCGACAAGGGTATGCTGGCATCCACAATCTGAGTTTCAGCAGTCGCCAGTTCCAGGATTGGTATAGGATCAACCATTGGTGGACGGTGTTCCTGATCCCAACAAAGGTCATATTTACATGACGCCAGTGGTGCGGCCGCATGCATGTCAACGCTCGGCGCTGAATCAGCCTCGGCGTCCCAACACATGTCAAATGCTACTGAGTCGGTCAGATATGAGGAAAGTCATGAAGGGACTAGAATGACTTGAGCCTGCAACTTGTGGATCGGCCGATTGTGTTGCAGTCGGTGTTTGCACCGCCGGCGCTTGATCACCCTCGGTATTCCAGCACATGTCAAATACTGACATTGTTAACTGTAAACAGAGGTATATTGAAAAGCAAATTTACCTTGATGCCCAACATTGTTCTTAGGATGTGCCAGGGTTTGTGTCTTGTTGGATGGCATGATGGAGACTTTGGATTTTGTAACTTGAAGTGGGCTGGATATAGTCGGTAGAGTTGGTGAAATGCGAATATTGTTGTAGCCCACAGGGATCTGGTCTTTTTGAGGGGATGGAATCGTGCACAACATTGGTGGCACCCACTGGTCCCACGTGAGGAAAAAATTCCAGTCGGCTTTGATGCGCTCATCCTGTAGCCTTCGAGCTTTGTCAAGACGAGTATCGTGGGAATACATTGACGATTTTGACAGACATGAATGCTGTGTTTGAAGAACAATGCAGAAGTGCCATAGCTACTGCCAAAGGTCGGCCATTCCCGAATTTCGGCCATTTCCGGCGGTGTCACAATATCGCACTACGTGTCCCAGTGACTTCTGTCAAGTTTTACACACATCCACACAACGTTGTTTTCGTCATCACTAGGTAAATACTTGTCCTACCTATTCCGCTGTTGTTGCATTTGACATTTGCCACCGTCAACCTTACAGTTTTTCAATCATTCAATTGCCACCATGCCATCACAAAAGGAATCCGATGATGTTTTGATGCTCGCCGACAGGTCTGTGCGCGATTCGGTCAGCCGAATTAAATGTGGGGAAGCAGATGGCCGGGCAGTTGTTGATCAGGCGCATGACATTGCGCGGCAGGTGGTGCGTTCTTCATTGATTGTGGATATTATTAGCGGCTCACCATCAACAGTCTACAGCTCTGCAGCAGCACAGCAGGGCTTGTTCGGTCATATCGCCATTTCTTCTTTCGGTGGCTGCCGAGGTCTGGGCGACCATGAATCAAGGTCTTGTTTCGCAATGGAACTGTGTCCGGGATGATGATCCACGTATGGAGTCACATCCCTTCTTCAAAAAGACCGTTGGATATGGTGAGTGGGCATTCTTTTGATCCAATGTGGTAGCTTAACATCCTTACAGAACAACTGGTGCCAGAGCCAGCAGAAGCACGAGGACAAGTAGTCTCCCCAATCCCAACAGTACCTCTCAAACAAATGTCGATTCCGCCGATCGATTCACTGCCTCATGCCGGTCATGCACACAACCTGGTTGTTCCTGGCACAATGCCCGACAAGGGCAAACGGTCTGACCGCAGCACTCGTCGATCCAGAGAGGACAGCCCAGATGCCGAGTCAGGCAGGAAGAAACAAAAGTCCTCAAGCGTTTGTCGAAAGCCGTCATCTCCGACACCGAGGACGAGGACAGGCAGCCAACAGGTACTATTGTAGTTAAGGTATGATTTCCTCCCATCATTTGTGACCAACAGCTTACATCACCTTAGCGTCCCAGGATCCCTGAATCTTCGGGTGCAGCACCGCCAACATCAAAGGTAAGCACGGCAGCATGCTCAATGCCGATCTTATTGCTGACTTTTTGCAGGGCATGACAAAAAACATGAAGCAGGTGAGATTTACCTCGTCCTGTCAGTCCTCATCTCTCAATCATCTTCAGCCGGATGCTGAACCAAAGATCGGCCGACCACGGCCACATGGCAAAGGAAAGGAGAAGGCTGTGGACATTGCCGAGCCCGTCAGAGGGCGCCAGCAACTGAAGTCCAATGCTGAGGAGGTTCGTTTGCCATGTTGACCCCAGTGACCGGGTACTGACTGTCTCATAGTACACTTCACCATGCGAGAGATGCATCGGGGAGTCTTGTCTTGTTGTGGTCGGCAGGAAGGGGCAAGCTATTAAGTCCTATGCAAAGTGCCACTTCATGAAGGTCTGGTGTAACCGACCAGTGTCGGTCGATACCAGGGGTCCTCCAATGACTCAGGAGGTTCCAAAGTCGCGTCCTCGGTCAAAGGCTGCACTGGCCTCCAAGTCCAAGGCTCGGTCCAGGACCACCAGAGCAACCTCACATGTTCGTCCACCAACTCCTATCCTGGAATCCGAGGATGCTATTGAGGATACCGGTAAGTGTTTTCATTTTTGTTTTAACATCATTTAAGCCTTGCCTTGTATGTAGAGGCGTCTGTCAGCAGTCGCGATGATGCCTAGATGGATGATGCTACCGACACCGAACAGCACACCGACGTCGCCACGGAGAAGTCGGTCGATCCTGATCAAATCATGGTTGACCAGCCGATCGTCATAGCTTCCATAGATGACTTCCCCGCCGACCATTGGCTGGAGAACACTGATGTGCCCATTCCCGTTCCCATTCCCCCAACAACTCCTGCAGCCGACCTCGTTTCCCTTCCTTCAGCAACTTCATCACCGATGATCCTTGAACGCATGCTAGCACTCCCACTCAGGTCACAGCCATGCAAATGGCTGATGAGAATGCCCTCGCCAGGGTCAATGCAATGGAACAGGAGTTTGACGCCCGGATCTCCTTGATGCGTGCCGATCTTTCCTCAATGCAACTTGATGTTGGCGCCACAGTCACATTGGTGAATGGACTTGTCGGCCTGGTGGAGAAGCTTCAGCAGGAGCGGGTCCTTGCAAATCCATTGTTCCCGCCACCAATGATAAGTCATGGCAATGATACCTCGGCCACCGCATTCGGCATGAGGTACTTGAATGGTGTGTTCGGCCCTTCAGTTGCTCCCATCCCCATTTCTGTTGGTGTCGGTCAAATGTCGGTGTCCTGCCCTTCTGGTCGTCCTGACACGCAGGGCGGCACATTCACATCCGGATCGGTGTCCTCGGCATTAGCACATGCCGGTCCTTCATAAGCTCCTACTTCAGTTGAAATATGTTTTGCTATCACACCACCTGACTCTGCGGCGTGCTCCCTCCCCTGATCATTCAGCGGATTACATAGTTGTACCGTACATCATTTGTCGGTCATATATTGTACATTGAATCCTTTGTGAATCGAGCACCGACAGCATGTCGGCACAGTTAATCTTGGTCAGCTTTGCAGTTGGCGTGGTGTACATACTTCAGTTTGTTCAAATTTTACTCATTAATACTTGTTACCTTCCGGCCTGTTGACATAACTCATCTCGGTTGATTACACCCAGTGGCCCTTGTTGCGCTGCAATGTGGCTGCCTACTCCAGTTCCCAGCAATTCATCGTACATAATAGTTGACCGAAAGTGGTTTGACCGAGGTTGTCCTGGCAAGTATATGATGACAACCGGTGTATTACCAACCTATTGACCGACCAACTCATCTGTCATATTTGACCGAGGTGGTCCTGGCAAGTATATCATGGAAGCTGGTCGATAGATACCTACCTATCGACAAACTACCCAACCATGTCATCAATGATATTTGGCCAAGTGTCTTTTCACCGAGGTGTTCCTGGCAAGTGTATTGTGGAAGCTTGTCTGTGAATACTGACCAATTGACTGATCTATGTCCATAATCTTTCTATATACTTAGAATCTTGGCCCATCTGTATATATCAGTACCAGCGCCCACTCAGCCCACTCGTTCATATCAGGTACGTACTTCATACACTACCTACCAAAGTCAATAGAAAAGTCTACACTTATCTACTACATTACAACTATGGGCCCACTTGTTTGTATCAGATACACACTTGACATCGGCCCACCTGTATTCAACACAGCAATACATTGATGGGCCCACATGGGCTGGCCTGTGTAGAACAGGGATATTTCAACCTCGGCTGTACATATTATACAAGGGTAAAGTGACTGCAGTATGTGTGAGACATACTTGCATCACTTGGCAAAGTGGTCTTGTAAGGTGTTCCTCCACTTGCCATACGGATTTGGAGACGAGTGTCTTTGAAGTCCTTCCTACTTGTGCCGCTGGACAAGGACGCTGTTACTGATGGAGTCGTTGACGCACTGGCTGATGTGTCGATAACTGGTTGGCCGTCATGTAAAGCTTTCTCCCTTGCAGCCTTTTCTGCACGGGCTTTCTTATCGGCCTCAATCTGGGTCTTGGCTCTGGCATCCTCAAGCGTCTCTACCGCACACGGTTAGATCGGATTAATATGGATAGAATCCATGCGCATGGCAACCACCTATGTTCCTACCCACCTTCTTTCACAAGCTCTTCAGCCTGCAGCTCATCTTTCAGTTTGCTGATGTTCTGGGTTGATTGAACTTCTGAAACACAAACACCACCAAGTACGCAACTAAACTCACCTTGCCAGACTTGCAGCGAATAGCTTCATTCGCACATCCTTCCTCTGCTTCTTGTTGAGACTTTACGCTGTGCTTTGCAGCTATTTTTTTAGGTCGGCCAACCTCTGCCTCTTCTCTTCCTCCACAAGTGGTTTTATCTGAGGGACATCTGAGGTTAGAAATACAGTACACATGCCATGGGGTACAAACCTCTTCCGTGGACTCCTCAAACTGATCATGTCCGCTCTTCTCGACATGGTAATTGGCCAATGCTGTGTTCTTAAATACCTTGCCACATTCTGAGCATTTGATACTCTAATAAGTGAGTTTATTGAAGATAGAGGCTTCAGAGCCGCAATTGAAATAAATGTACCTTGGCATCTACTTCAGTGATCGATGTGGCACCAGCTTTAGTTCCTATCAAGCGCCGCATGGCGTCTTCATCTTCGTCGTCAACATGGACATCGACGTCCATGGGACACCTGCGCTGCCCGATGCACTCATAGGAGCAGCAGCGCTCGGATCTGGAATAGGCTTCCCTTCGTTCTCCAGAATGTGATCCATAGCAGGCTGCAAACCGCGATTGTTAGTCGCTCTCGATGCCCCAGTTTCAGGTTCGGCCATTTGGTCGAACCCTGGACCAAACATCATCAAACACGTTCAGGAGGTTCGGTTTGCGTCCAATCAGGTTCGACCACCAAGCTATAAGCTTCCAGATGATGGGACATAAGAGTTCCACCACACTGTTCCCAACACTACGAACACCATGCGCAAACGCCCAGTCCACGTCAGCAACTGCTGACATGGCTCGGACAAGTACGGACAATGGACGAGAGCAGGAGGGAAGAAGACAACAACAAGAGCAAGGGAGAGACGATGAGGAGAACGACTCAGATGGATATGAATGAGACAAGCAGGAAGAACTACACCATCCAGCTCAGCAAGAGGATGCGACGGAGGTACGAGAGGAGCTGGGTGCATGGTTTGCTGTAGTGATGCAGACTGCCGGCCAAAAGATTGACAGTCTTACGTGGGAAATTTACGGTCTGGCGCGGCTAAGTGTCACTAATGCCCCACTTACAGTGCAACAAACACTTCCCACACCGCTGACCTGCACCAAACTGGTCTGGTGCATGGATGACCAATGCTCTCCCACAAGCTTAATACCCTAGTAACCATTATGAAAACCATCTCCTCTCAACTCAGAAGTCAGAATGCAGTTCAGACAATATTTTCGTTTCATTTCTCGGCACAACTCAGATAGGCTGAATATTTTTGTATATTTAATTCCACAATGAATTTTGCTTAGTCATTCACAACAATGACTCAGACTACATCCCACGCATGTCAGGTGACTGTGAAAAATAGTTCTCGCATGAGCTACCCTGTGGGAACTTCCTAAAAACCCTAAATACAAGGCTCACGTCATTTCTATGGTCAACAAAGTGACATCAGAATGGAACACCACCAATTTATGAATACTTCTTTTGCATGGCATAATCAGCTAGTCACATGACCCTTGGTCACAAGATACTAAGTCATATGACTTTGACAGTCAGGTGATCTATGATCTCAACCAAGTCATGACAAAGCAACATCTTGTGATGACTAAAGATTGATGACACAAATTATAATACAGAGGACTCATGTAAATAGTTAATGACTAAGCCCATTTCTCTTAGAATGTGGGAAATAGTAGCACAGCCACCATATTTTGTCTATATAAGACCCCAATTTTTGCCATAATAAAAAAAACAGAGAGGGAGAAGCCCCACTTTTAAGAATAAGACTGAGTGTGAAGTGTGATCAGTGTCAACAACAGTGACAAGAGCTGTTAAGCAACTAACTGAGAGGTCATTGTGAGCAACATCCAGCAATACTTTTTAGCTCATTACCAACAACTGTGAAATATCTTGAGCTCACTGTGCTCAACAGTGAGCAAACATTTCTTTTTGTTTTCTGCTGGTGAACCTCTAGTTTTCTTTCTTTTCTTTTCTCTCTTTCTTTTTATTCTTCTTCTTTTGTCTCTTTTCAACTCATTCACATCTTAGTGTTATTGTTCTGAATTTGTTCCAGGATCTTTGTGTTGTCTTTACGTCCATCTAGGCAAAGGCTTAGTGGGAAGACTTCAGGAGTTGATAGTGACGCTTGACCTCACTCATCTGAGTAGTGATACTGAGCCAGGGTTTTCTTTGTCTGCTAGACTTTAGTTGTTGAATAGGGGACTTGGTACTGAAAGCCAAGGACGTCCGTTCCTGATTCTGTTTAATACTCATTGTGAGTTCCTTGGCAGCAGGTTCAATAGTGATCTAAGAGTTCTACTGAGCATTGATTAGTCCTGACCTTTGATTCTACCTGTTTGTGCTGAGGGGGTGATTGTTATAACTTCGCACGACTTTCTGTAGTAAGTTTGTTGCAAAAATATTAGTACTGAAGGAAGGATTTCTCTTATCATTCTTTTTCTTTTTGTCATCACCATACTGTTGGGTTGACCACGTTCTGTTTATTGCATCCATACTGTTGGATCGCCTGGTATTGTTACTGACCTCATCAGAAGTACTTTCATCTGAACATAGCTTGGGGAAGTGTAAACAGCCACCCACAAACAACCACATTATCAGTCATTGGTATTTGTCTGAATCACTGACCGTGGAGATATTTGATTTTGTAGTGGTTTATCTATAGATCATCTATCTAAGAAGACACCGCATCTTGCTTGCAATTTTGACGCGCACGACACGCCCTGACATTTCAAAATCTATCTATGACAATCCCCAGTCGATTTCATGCTGCTGTTCCAGCCTTCCAGACGCTCCCCGCCACCATGTCTGCTTCCCTTTGTTCCACACCAGTGGCACTGCTCGCTTAGGTAAGCTCCATGGACCGTCGTGATCAGTGCTTCTTCCTGTGAGAAACTCATGGTCGCTCGTGGGAGATTTGCGGTTTGGTTTGTGGTCCCAGCTTCCCGATCAAGCGGTGGCAGTGTTGGACCCCTGGCACTAGGACCCATGGCGCGAGGGTGACGAAGGGAGGTGGAATGAAGGAGAGCGGAAGCGGGTGCAAGGACGAGGCGAAAGCTGCTGCCGAGGAATGCGGAGGATTCAATTCAAAAGTTGCAACAGTATGCAACAGTACCAGTCCAGGCATTAGTGCTTTAGTTAGTGAGATAATTTGAAGGTGTGTCATAGTGAAAGAAAACAAAAAGGAAAGGGACGGATAACGAAGAGAGAACACTGTTCAAAGGTAGATGGTGTGTGGTGTGCATGTAGTGATCACTGATCACACTGGTAGCAATGAGGACTGCGGACTATCTGCCAGTGGTGAACCCTTCCAGCGCTGGGCGAGTGCGCCGTTGATGGTAAGCAACTCCCTCCACTTGCGGGCAATGTCAACATCCTTGCTCATCAGCTTCGACACACCAGACTTTGCATACCTGAACATGCCTTGTGCATCCAGGTGGTCGAGGTTGCCACCAAAGAACGAGCGTGCAGTGGCAGCATCTCGTGTGTCACGAGCCATCTGCTGATGCTGCAGAGTGTCGCAGAGCTTCGTGTATCCGACGCGCTGACCATTGGCATCAGTCCAGGCCATCCAGAATGCATCGTCTGATGCAAAACGCAAATGCTCCTCCATGATGAACTGTGGTTGGAAAAAAAAGGTGTGTCAGCTGAAGAAGAAGTGTTTTCGAATACAGAACTCACCTTCCATTGCCCCCACTGCACTTTTTGCAGTGCCCATGCCTTGCTGTTCTGTCCAGTGCACTTTTTATACACATCTCCCCAAAACTTGATGGGGATTCCATGCCCGTTCACCACCAGGTATGTTGACTGATGCCGCTCTCTGAACAGAGCGCTGATGTCTGTCGAAAACCACACGGCCAGTGGTGGCATGACCATGGTCTTGTCGAATGCCAGCTCTCTGCCTTCCAGCTGGAGAATAGCGAGATTGGAGGGTGGGATGGATTGCGTTGGAATGGCTGTCTGAGCAACAGGTGTAGGTGTTGTGAATGGCTATGCTGGTGCTGAAGATGACTGAATTGATGTGGTGTGAGGGTGAGGGCATGCTGGCCGAAGTGGTTGCTGAGTAATGCTGGTGTCAAAAGCATCAAAACTTGTGCGGAGGAGGGGAGCAATCTTGTGAGCAATTTGGTTGCTGATCTCCATCTCAAGGTTGTTCACTTGTTCGATGAGGGTGTCCTCCAGGCCTGCAATGGTGCGTTCCAAGCACCTGAAGCGCAGGCTCAGGCTTTGTCTGTCCTAAATAAGAAATTAACTAAAGTCAGCTGATAGCCCAATATTGGAGCCTGATGGACACGCACCTCAGTGGTCAGTTCATGAGCGGGATACATAGTGCCTGCAGGTGGCAGATTGGTGTGGGTCGAGAACTGAGGTGTGAATGAGGTGGGCTGCTCTGTAGCTGACAGGAGCATATTTGCTGATTGTGCTGCAGGCCTCTGTGTGCCAACCACTTGTAGGGCATCAGCTGCCTTGTGAGTGGGCCCATCAATGGTTAGTGTGTTCTCCGGCTAGTCACGAAGAGTATGAAACTCACCCAAGCATTGTTATTGTCAATGTCAGCAGGTGTGAGACTCTGCACCACACAGCCAACACCCAGTTTGCTCTTGTGCTGCACTAAGGTCAGCTCATGCTCCCAAAACTGGGATGTGATGCGCTGTGCGGACTGTTTTGCAGTTCGTCTGCCTGTGTAACTTCCTCTCGTGCCCTTCCTTGCAGGTTGGAACAACCTGCAAGAACAATGAGTCATCATGAGCCAGCATGCTGATCAGAGCTCATTGGACAGCTCACAGTCTCCAGCTCGTGTCATCGGCAGCATACTTGTGCAGGCGCTCGATCAGGTCAGCTTTCTTTCCTGTTGTCTGTAGGCCATATTCCTTCAACTTTTCTCTCAACATCTTCACCGTCGTGTCCTGCTGTCTGCAACTTCAAGTTAGCAGCCACCACTGCAACGAGTGACACAGATGAACTAACATGACAAACTCCACTGTCTGTGGCTGCTCGTTTACTCCCAGTGTCTTTCCCAGCTCAGGTAGGCATATAATCTCAGCAGCGGGCATGGTCAATGTGCAAGTAAAACGAGGTGTCATCTGCCAAGCCTTCTGGTTCAAATTAAGGTCATCGATCAGCGATCACAGAGGTTAGTGGCTTATTTCAATATTGGAACATGTCCCTCAGCCACAATTGAACCAAGATGCCTCGTATACATATCCCCCCACTTGGAGGTGCAAAACATTATCTCACAGATGCTGCAGCAATGGTAACCTATGAGGCTGTTGCTGATGACCAGGAAGAGGAGATTGAGTCCTTGATGGCTGCTGTTGACATTGAATACAAGCAGCAAGAGTCAAGTGGCATGTCGGAAAATTCTATTTTTGGTTGGAATGTCCCACAATGGCTTGAAAGGGCTCAATTTACCAATGACATTGCCACTCGCTTGGAAGCAGACCCAAAAATTGTGGAAGCTGCTTGGAAGCAGTCCAGGGACCTTGCAATGAGTCTCAAGATGATTCAAAGACCGTGGACTCGCAAGACATTTCAAGATGATTCCAACATTGAGGTCTCCTTGCAAAGCTTCAAGGACTATTTCAATCCCACTGGCAACAATTTCAAGAGCATTGTAATAGATATTGAATTTCAATGTACTGTAACTCCTAATGGTCCAAATACGATAATATGTCCAACAGAAAGAATCCAAACATAAGAAATAGAGATCTCATTAATACTTCTGTTTCAAAACACATGATATCTAGTAGATTGGGAGAACTCCGTCATTCAACTTTTAGTAAGATTGAGGCTGGAGACTCACCAGTACAATTTTCTGAAGCAGGGCAGTAGTTATTGTCGGGTGATTCAGATACACACCATATAGCAGATGCATTGAGGGTAGACGTCGTGTCAGTCATTAAACCTTCTTCGAGGTCAATCACACCATTGAAGGCCGCATACTCCAGATCCAAAAATGCAAGACCACCATCGTCAAAGAGGCATTCCAGGGGAGCAATAAATCGGGCAAAGCAGACCCGGAGAGTCTCGAGAATCTGAAAGTTATATTTGGTGACGATGGAAGCGGCAGGCATGGTGGATGTGCTCAATGCAGAAGCAGTAAGGAGGGCCCTGGACGCATCAGATGTGGAAGCGGCAAGCACGGTGGACATTTGGGATGCAGAAGTGTTAAGGAGGGTGGATGTGTCAATGGCTAAGTCAAGTGTTGTTGAGGGAATGTATTTGTAAGGCTGGGAGTTGGAGGTTGTCTGCGTTGTTAGATACTGTAAATCCAAGAGCTTCTCAGTGACTGAGAGGTTTTGAGGTGGGCACATGATGGTTGAAATGACCTGTGAATTGGACAGAATTTTTTTTAAAAATTAGATGACCATCATCGTCTGAATCGCCAAAAATTTGACTTACTACGGTGATAATAGCAGTAATTATCAATGTTGTCGACGGGATGCTTAGACCCGAAGCAACAATGGACAATGGCATTGGTCCAGGGTCATTGACAACATGCCAGGACAGGATGGCACACTGTAATAGACTCAGATTCAGAATTAAAAGTGAACTTGAGAGTGGTTCCACTTAAACGACATCAATGAATGTCAATGAGAAGAAGTTTGAACCGAGGCAAAGAAATTTCAACCAAGTTTCAATGTGCTTACGTATCATTAGTAATAAGTCATTGGAAGACAATTGCATTGCGATGCTCTAAGTGTAAGCGCAAAGTATGACAATGTTACAGTATACAGAAAAAATGACAGTCAAAGCTATAACCTATGTAAATTTCCTTGCCATGCCTGTTAGACCTCCTAACTCCAGTATTGGCTGATAAGTCTCCATCAGCAACAGCAGCAGCCTGCTTTGAATTCCCTTTCCATTTTGGTTTTGGTTTTGGTTTTGTTGTGGCCAAAACACCAGAATCATCAGCTACTGGCTCGTTAATATTCTCTCGACCATGCGCCAAAGCAAGAGCTTCCATCGCAGTAGAGATTGAAGGTGTCACGATAGCAGCTGGATTCAGATCTGGTTGCATAACGGGTCCTGCCGCACTTGCAGGGAGAGTATTGGAAATAGTGACCGGCGGCTTGCTTCCCTCATCTATGGCACGCTCAAAGTCTAATTCTCAAGACTGAGCTGGGTCCCCTTCATCCAGAACAGGAGCGGGAGTGAGTGAGGAAGTAGATGGAAATAGGATCTGGTTGAAGAATACAAGAACCTGGCGCACCCAGGCACCTCCCGTTGACACACACCAAACTTGTTTTGTGCATGGTCATGGTTACTTTAGAGCATTGACATTCCCTACCGTACCCTACAAAGTTATTAAGAATTTTCTATAATACATTATGACTTGATTTGAGCAGTTTTCAGACATAACAAACCCATAACACTACATAATAATTCGATTAATACTTATCCTATTCAAAGATAAGTTCCAAACATACCATAACACATTACTCAGCATCTTTTTCTCACAACATCATAATTTTCTCACACATTCTTCACATTTCTTTTGTATGTTCTGAAACATATTCAATTCAACATTTCAACATATCAACAATTCATGGGTGACTAATGGCTTAGTCAGATGAAATGGATTAGTAAGATGAGATGAATTAATCAGGAATTTGAATGGAGAAAGTTGATAGATGAGAATATTCAAGAAGTAAACAAGTTATCATGGGACATCTCTACGATGACTCAGTTTGAGTCATTATGAGTCATTTTCTTGTCTGAGTCGCTATGAGTCATCTTCATTATGAGTCATATTTCCTTATTTAGATAGGTACACAGCCACATTTAGAATAGTATATAAGGGGCTCTATTTCCCCTCTGAATAATGACAATCTCCCTTTTTGAAATCAAACTTCCTTTGAGAGGACAAACAATCCCCCTTTAAGAGAGAGGGAGGAGGATTTGAGTATCTTCCTGAATTTCTCACCCTATATTTGTGTGAACATCTGAGTTAATTTACGTATTTTTAACGATTAGGAGGACGACAAATAAGACTAGCACTTTATTCAACAATATTAAGAGCTTGGCTGCTTTAAGACTACATCAAGAGGGTGTACTCTGTTCTGATTCTGCGTCATACTCATCGTGAGTGCCTGAGCAGCAGAGAAGTTAGTTTCGAAGCCACATATTTCGGTTGATTCAATTGTGTTAGAGGCTTAGTTTGATCTTCTCTAATTTTTGAGAATAGGGAGTGTTTGCAAGATATTACTCTGACTCATTGTATACCATTGTAAACCATATCTGCATCTTCATATTGCATACTTTTGCATTCATCTTTTAGTAGCATCATAGTACTGCATCAAGCCAGTTATCAATTCGGCTACACCATTTACGATCTTCATCTTTAGCGTCCTAAGCACTGCATCATGCCAGTTAACAGACTAACAACTCTTTCATAGTACCTAAGCACTGCATCAAGCCAGTTAACAGTCACTGTTACAACACACCTAAAGTCAATAGAAGTTTGTTTAGAATGACTCTGCTATTTATGCCTCCTCCCACGAACGACCACGTTATCAACCGTTGGTATTTGTCTGAACCGTTGACCATGGAGGATAGTGAGAACTGGTGATTTTATTGCCAATCACATCCTAGTAAGACACCATCATCAGGTGTTCACGGTAAAATTCGTGGTAGGCATGATATGGGATTTTAGTTGTCTGGCCAGTTTCAAGCAGTTCCTTGTCACCTGAAAGCACGTAGATAGCCTGGGGTAAGAGAATATTAAGTGATGGATACTCCGACATGAAGCTGAGTGACTTACGACAATTGCAGCAGCAGCAATCATGCCTGGCATTGTGGCTCGCAAATTCCAGATCTTGGCCTTCGTTTTAGAGCTTTGCACATTGGAGGACAGCAAAGTCTTGCCGTGGATGGACACTTTGAGGATCTAATGTGAGGCATGACTTATTATTAGACCCTCGTAATAAGCACTAGAGAATATGAAAGAACGTACCTTAACCAGCACCGCTGACTTCAGGAAGTCGTTGGGCAAGAGACTGTTTGGACGGGGGAACAACACAGGAGCAAACTTGGTGTAGGAGCCATGAGGAGAACAAATAAGAAGGCGACATTCTTCTTGCGAGCCTCGATCATAACCTCGAAGGAAGAACTCAGGATTCAATCCAAAGATAGCTCCAGCACATGTCTTGATGTCTGAAACCATTTCGGAGCAAACATTACCAACACCTTTGGCAAACTGAAGAAGTCAGATATGGTCTTGAAACTAAGGATATCAACTGCACTGACATGACTACCGAAGAGCTTGTGATTCATCATTTCACAATCTGCTTCAGGAACGAACAAGAATAACTCAGCTTTCACACCATCTTCGATTGAAAGTGGCGACAGCCAGTGCTCCTTACTGTTGACGTCAATGTCGGGACGTGCACACAAGGGGAAAATCTTAGGGTTGATCCACAAGCAATGTGTGATTGAGTACTTGCATCCCAACAGCCTTATCGCCTCTTCCTTGACGGCTAGCTCGAGTTCATCACGAGTTGTTGAACGTTGGACTAGAAGTCAAGTCTCAGCGTCGTAATAGTAGAACCGCTAATATTGATAGTACCTAGAAGTCAAGTCTACATGTGAAACAGAGTAAGAGATAGACGGCGTGCAAGTAGAAAATGATACATACCTCAGCGTCGTAATAGTAGAACCGCTGAGGTATGAACCGCGTGAAGCTACAGATTATATAGAATGGTATTGAATCCGGAATATCAAAGACGAAAAAGGAAAGCTATCGGAGTGATGACGACGAAGTAGAGCGATGACGAAGTTGAATTCAACACACCCCCTCAACGAGACAGCGGTCAAAAATGTCCACTTCGAGAGACGAGGCAAATACCAGAACGGTGATGAAGAAAGGCAGGGTAAGGCAGGACTTTGGTAGAGATGTTTTGACAGAAATAATGGGTCCACCCCCTCAATCGAGACCTTGAAGACCAGCGCGAGGATACGGCCACGTTGGTAGCACAGAGACGTGGAGGGAGAGACAGATGAACCGTGAGACATCCGATGAAGGACTGAAGCCACGGCGCTTGACATCACCAGCCGTTCTGAGTAGCCGCCTTCCAAGCCATGCATTCCGTCGTTGTCGAAGAGAGTGCGCAGGGATTGATGAATAACAGGATGGAAGGAACTTTGACATGAAGGGAGTTAAACATGCCGGAGCGATGCGGCACCAAGAGATGATATGGTGAAAGAATCTTTTGGTGCACTGTCGAACAAAGAGAGGTTGTGAATAACTATGTGTGGTGGAGAAATGACGAGTTGTTTCTTGTGACAAGGTAATGGCACAGGTGATGATGGCGAAGAGGTGGGGAGACTAGTAAAGTGAGGATCCAAGGCATCCGAGGGAAGCGGGGAGTAGCGTAAATCTGAAAATGTATCTGCAGCTATAAAGATGATGGGGGTCGTGATCAGTGTCGATATTACTACCCCCGCAGTGATGGAGGATGAGTTAGGCGACAGCATGGTGGTGAGGTGACTGTGCATGAGAGCCAGACACATAACCCCGGCGATGATAAGGCTAGTGACGACTTGAGATAGGCTAAACTTCGTATTGTGGCCAGGTATGATGGCATCCAGATGAACACTGATAGAGGGGTCTGGATGCAATCCATCTGCGGTGATGCGAGGGTTAAAGTTCGGACGTGTAATGACAATGGGTTGGGGAGTAACGGCGACCTTGAGAGGCATGATAGCAACCAGTAATGGAGTAGAGGATCGGATGGCGGGTGTCTTGCTGCATTGTAAGTGCAGAAGAGATGCAACGGCAGAAGGTAATGGGACAGATGAAGGAGGAGGCGTATGTGCGAATGCTGCAACTTCAAGTTCAGGATTATGAATGAGCGGGGATGAAGACTCAGTGAAAGGAATGAACTCCAAATTGACTGCATAGAGTTTCCCCATCACCGGTATTGCGCCAAGTTCTATACCTTGATAAGCAAGTTCACACCGTGAAGGATTTGCTCGGAAATTAACATCCCACCCCTTCGCATTCATGCGACTGACAGAGACCAGATTGAGAAGTGCTCCTGGTGCGTGTAGACAGTTGGACAGATGGATGCGCAGACATTGTTTCCCGATAGTGAGCCATGCCACACAATTTCCCCGCCCAGTGGTTGGAAGAATCCCATGATTGGCAGTACGTATGTCAATGGGATTAGTTGTAGAATACGTATGAAAGAAGCGGCGATCCTTTACGAGCGTGGCTGTAGTACCAGAATCGAGAATAGTGGATAGAGAGTGCGGGAGTGTGCAAAATGTGTCGCCAGGGAGCTCTGCAATGGATGCAAAAGACATGTCGTGTAGAAGACTAGCAAGGTCAGCTGCTGTGGCTGCAATACTGACCGAGGAGGGAGCAGTGGCAGGCACCGGCGTTGGAGCAGGAGTGATGGGAGGTGTGCTCTCACTTGCCTTCTTCTGCTGCCAGGGTGCTTGCCCTTCCATTCCACCCCCCTTCCCATAGCAGTGCTTGTGATCATGGTCTCCCTTACTGCAGCCAGGTGTCGTGCAAAATACCCCATCCGGATTATGCCCATGTTTCCGAAGGCCAGTGATAGGATTGATGCTGGGTGCAGTCGTGTTGGCAACTGCATTGGCGTATTCAGACCCGAGATGAGCAGAGTGTACAGCGTGTGCATGCACGTGACGCGCAGCCTCAGCGGTGATACGGGAGACACAGCTCTCGACAGTGAAAGTGGAGGGATTCGTGGCAGTTGCGAGCATGATCTCATCATGCATCCGTTGTTCGAGCATGGACTTGAACTGTTGCCAGATCGGCGTGTGAGGAAGCCCGATGAGCAGGCTGTAGATAGCATCTCCGTCTCGCAAAGGAGCACCGGAGTCGTGGAGTCGTTCACGAAGTACGGCATGTTGTCCGACATAATTCGTTGCATCAGCAGAATCCTTCATACGAAGGGCATCAAGATGTTGACGCAATTGATACTGAGCGCTTGTATCCGTGCGATTGAAGTGTTCTGCAAGAGTTTGCCACGCCTTGCGAGCGGAGACAGTGTGAGAACGTGATACTAGCGATCCGACGGATGAACTGAGATGGCGAGTGATGAGGTCCTTTGCTTTAACGTCGTTTAACAGCCATTCACGCATCGCCGTCAACTTGGCGGGCGTGACATTGACCGGATCAGCAGGGACAGGCATGAAGGACGGCGTTCCGAGAATATCTGCGGGGTCAGCAGTTGCGTTGATATGGCACCAAAGATCCTCGCAAGCTAAAGCATATTGAGTTTTCGTTGACCAACCGACGTAGTTTTCTGAGCCCAGCAATTCCGGAATATGGTCGTACTTTCCCATGGCGATACCGCTGTGGGGGAGGAGTACGATGAGATGTGACGAGTGAGCGGCGGGTCAACGTGAGTGGATTTTTATCCTTGTAGTTCCGTCTGATGGCTCAGTAAGAGCCAGGGCTCATAACCTGTTGAACGTTGGACTAGAAGTCAAGTCTCAGCGTCGTAATAGTAGAACCGCTAATATTGATAGTACCTAGAAGTCAAGTCTACATGTGAAACAGAGTAAGAGATAGACGGCGTGCAAGTAGAAAATGATACATACCTCAGCGTCGTAATAGTAGAACCGCTGAGGTATGAACCGCGTGAAGCTACAGATTATATAGAATGGTATTGAATCCGGAATATCAAAGACGAAAAAGGAAAGCTATCGGAGTGATGACGACGAAGTAGAGCGATGACGACGTTGAATTCAACACGAGTGAGTTTCTTCCGACCTTTGGCTGCTGAAGTTTCCAGAAGTGCGTTCTGCTTCAAGAGCTCTTGCTGCCGGCCTCACATATTCAACAGCAGCTTCTGCACAGTTTCTAGTGCCTGGATAGCCAACTTAGAGACTGTAATATGCCCAGAAAAGATTGAGACAGCACTTGCCTGATGAAGGTCTGCAATCGAAGCATTGTCCTGTGGAGCCGCAACAGCAGCACAAACCTTCATGAGTTCCTTGTCCGAATCCGATGACGAGTTGTCAGAGTCAGAATCAAAGCCTGCAGCGGAGCTGCTCTCCACGACTTCGATATCCTCTGGTACATGGTGCCGAGACATGCTGATAGGGTAGCAAGAGCGAGGAAAGGTTTGAGCTGTGCGTGCAGAATTCAGTTTACAAGACTGTCCCTTATATCAGTTCTGAACACGTGTCACGCACCATTTGATTATGTAGTGTATTGCGGTGCATTTAGTAGTGTAAACATGTGCTATCCTGTATGCGCAACAATGAGGCGCTGATGAATAATGAAGTCGTCGTTACTTTGAGGTAATAAATTAATAGCTCACCTTTCAGCAGGGTCAAGGGTATCACATTAAGACGTGTACAGAGAAGAGTACATAATAACAGGGCTGTCGAATGAGCCCTGCTTGGTATGCCAGGTGCGCTGGAGAAGCTCATGAGCACTCTGTTCATGATTATGGGGTAGGGATCTTACCTACTTTGTATGCTAGGTGCGCTGGAGATGCTCATGAGCGCTCCATTCATGATTATGGGGTAGGGAGCTTACCTACTTTGTATGCTAGGTGCGCTGGAGAAGGTCATGAGTGCTCCATTCATGGTCATGAACTTGGAAGCTTACCTGCTTCGTATGCCAGATGCGCTGGAGAAGCTCATGAGCGCTCCATTCATGGTTATAATCTAAGCTATAGAAGTTCGTGAGTGCTCCATGGTTATGGGGTAGGAAGCTTACCTGTTCATTAAACTGGGCGTGAGTTTTGGCTTTGTGGCCGTGACCAAGCATGACACTGAGAGAGTTATTGTCAGAGAGCATGAGATGAAGATAGGAAAAGAGCCAAGGGGAGCATCAATGTGGGGGCTAGTTGAAATCCAGTGCCTCCAGAAAACCGATAGCGCTGTAGACAGTGATCAGTATGGGAAATGGTAGTAAGAGTAGAACAATTCAACTAACCTAAAAGAATTTCCTTCGAGAACGGAGGAACATATCCGTATCCACGTAGTCAACAACAAAAAAGTCTGTATCGCTGTCATAGTTGGGGACAAGTAGAGCGCCGTGAATGATTGAATGAATGGAAATAAACTCAGATAAAGCTGCGGGTTGTGCACGAAGATGAGTGAAGCGCAGATCCTGATCTGCAGTACGTCGTGTACCAAGCGGGGAGTCCATGGACTGAACTAGAGCAAGGTCCAAAGTCTGCTCACCAACAACATACTTAAACATGAATAGCAATCGGACAAAAATGTTTCGGTCGTTGCCATCCTTGTTGTGGGTACGTATCAGTGTGCAATGACGCCGTTCATGGCCGTAGAAACTCGGGTTACATCTAAGGTAATTGGTGGCCGATTTCCAGTCAATGAAGGACTCGTAGTTTACTTTGAGGTAGCGGTGTTCTTGAAGCTATCCAGAAATATGGTTAAAACTTGGTGAATAAGAAAAAAAGCAACTGACCATGTCCTCCGCTGCTGGTCTTAGCCAGGTCAAACCGTTAGGCAATGGTATATTGTTGGAAGGGAGGAAGTTGTTGAGGAATACGGTGAACTTCTTCTGGAATTGTGCAAATGCACGATTCGAACGATATGCTTCCTCTACTAGGGCAAAACTGTTACAGTAACATTTAACCCCTATCTTCATTTCCTTTTGTTCCGCTTACAAACGGGCCGTCCGTATCATGCTTATCTCTTATCTTCGCCAAGCGGGCTGTCCGCCTTATCTTGTCTCTTATCATGCTTCTATCTTGATAAACATTTACAAGCTCCGCTTGAACACTTGTATATAAACCTAGCTACTTACGGTTGTATTCTTTACTTTAATCTACTGGGTTTTACCTGGAATATTGTCCTTCAGTAAGGTCTCCAACCTTACTGTCTAAAGAACCACTATTCTAAGGGAGTCAGTGACACTCGCCTTAGCCAGAAGCCTTGATCTCTCATTCGAGAGTAGACTTATGTCTATCTGGCATCTCGCCAATTGTCTATCCAGACACAGATAGCTCGACTCATCCCAGTCGTAACAAAAGATTAAAGTCCTATCAACTGAACCGTTGCCATCTGCAACGAAACCGACACCACGACTTCGTTAACTCCCTTGATCGGAGCCTTGAACTTAGGAGCCTTACCAAATATCCCTCCTTTGAACACCATGACGACTAAAACCAAAGATATAGAACTCAAGATCGGATCTCCTCCTGAATTCGATGGAGACCGAGAAGAATCCAAGAGATTTATGATGAAATGTCACGCGTACCTTGATATCAACGATCAAGTATACAACGAAGACAAAAAAAAGATTATCCTAGTACTGTCATACATGACAAAAGGGAACGCAGCAATATGGGCAGAAGATTTTATGGAGGCAGCCTTAGATCCTAAAAGAAAGGATACCTCCGGGCAGATGATCGGTTACGGAACCTGGGCCACATTCAAAAAGGACTTCGACGAAGCCTTCAAACCCATGGACCCCGCCGGGACTGCCATGATGAAAATCCGAGGATTGGAAATGAGAGGAGATCTCCACACCTACATCTCCAACTACAAACTCCTCGCACACAGAGCAGGGATGACCGAACAAGCCCCCCTTATTGAGTTCTTCAGACAAGGTCTAGATTACGGCCTTCAAGATAGCATGCACCGTACCGGCGAAAGTCTCGACGACTTTGACACCGTAGTCAACACCTGCATTAACCTCGATAACGCTTTTCAAAGGTTGAAGGCTATCAAAAGAAAAGAAAGGCCCAACCAACAGAAGAAGAAGAACTTCGGGAACAAGCATTATGTTCCAAGAAGGAGCGACGATATGGAAGTCGATCGCATAAGCCGTCTGTCAGACGCAGAATTAAAAAAACACCTCAAAGAAGGAAGATGCTTCAAATGTCACCAAGTGGGACATCACACCAACGACACCTCCTTCCACCCTAGAGAAAGGGACCAAATCCGAAGAAACAAAGAAGAAGAGAGCAGCAGCGACGACGAAGTCGAAAGTCGCGCTTCCTCCTCCAAAGCTCCCATTAGAAGAAAGAAGGAGAAGAACGAAGAAGAAACCCCGAAAAGGAAAACTCCGATCCGAAGGAAGACTACGAAAGAAAAAACGAAAGAAGTCGAGGAAGAAGAAGACAGTGACTTCACCGAAGTAGAGCGTCGCTTTGTGGAAATGGATTTTTAGAAAGGAGAACTGCCTCAACGTCAGTAACTCCCACTCCTGTACGACTAATACATTCTATCGGAACCAGAAATGAATTGAGAATTCCTGCATCCATTTTTTCCGATAAACGCGTACAAACCGTCGAAACATCCATGATCATCGATTCTGGAGCATCCGGAACCTTTATTAGCGACGCCTTTTGTAAAAGGCATAAGATAAAAACCCATAAACTCTCTCGACCTTTCCCTGTCATCACCGCAGACGGATCAGACGCTCAAGGAGGACTCATCTCTCGCTATTGCATACTCACGGTCAAAATTGATCAATGGACTATGATCGGAAAATTCAATGTAGCGAAACTAGCCAAACAAGATAAAATCCTTCTAGGATTCCCCTGGCTCTCGGCATTAAAACCCCAGATCGATTGGGAAGCCAAAACAGTGTCACTCCCATCAACAAAGAGATCATTAGCTATAGAAAAAAACATCGACAGAAGACGACAAAGAAAATCCCTTCCACCACTCTTCAAAAAGGAGAAAGTCTTCGAAAAGGAAACGTCCCGAGTTTGGGTAAACTCTAAACTACGGAAGCCAGTACAGGTGAAGGTGGCAACTAATGAAACCACCTCCCCCTATACCGCTTCTGTAGAAGAAGTGATGGATGAAGAAATCCCCAACTATGACACTAAAGATGATGTTTGGTCGGAAAATTTTAGACCCCCAGTCCTCGACCCACTAGCCTATCAACTAGCCAATGACAAGGTACTCGTTGAATACGCCAATAACGGATCTACTGTACGCATCATCGAAGATATATCTTTCGATACCCCGCTCGTTCGAGATGGGACATCAAAAACAGAACAAAACTTCGGAAAAACAAGCAATAAGGCCCAAGAATTCGCAGTCGCAGGAGAATTGGAAAAACAGAAAAAGACCTTTGAAGAACTCGTTCCCCCCTTTCTACACCAGTACCGAGATGTTTTCGCCAAAGACAGCCTTAACAAACTCCCGCCTGAGAGGCCTGGGGTGGATCATCGCATCGACCTCAAACCAGGATTTGTACCCAAAACGTCGAAAGTTTATCCGTTATCCGGGAAAGAACGAGAAGCCGTCAAAACCTTTATCGAAGAAAATACCAGAAAAGGTTTCATTGTCCCATCTAAATCCCCTCAAGCTAGCGGATTCTTTTTTGTAGGAAAGAAAAGCGGAGAATTACGCCCCTGTCAAGATTACCGATATCTTAACGACTGGACTATACGAAACCAGTACCCCCTCCCCTTGCCGAAATCCCTCATCGAACGACTCTATGACGCCAAGTACTTCACAAAGATCGACATAAGATCGGGGTACAATAACGTTAGAATCCACCCTGAAGATCGCTGGAAAGCAGCGTTCACTACGCAAGAAGGGCTGTTCGAACCAACAGTCATGTTCTTTGGATTGACAAACTCTCCTGCAACGTTCCAAGCGTTTATGGCAAACCTCTGTCAGCAACAGATAAACGAGGGATGGTTAGTCATCTATATGGACGATCTTTTAATCTTCTCAAAAGATCTTCAACAACATCGAGCACGAACAATTGAAATCCTCAATATCCTTCGGAAAGAAAAGCTGTTTGTCAAACCGGAAAAATGCACTTTTGACGCTCAAGAAGTAGAGTATCTTGGAATGATAATCCGACCTGGAGAAGTGGGCATGGAACCCGCCAAAGTAGATGGGATTAAACACTGGCCAACCCCGGAAAACCTAAGGGACACACGATCGTTCCTCGGGTTCTGCAATTTCTATCGGGCGTTCATCGCTCACTACTCGGATATCGCCCGACCTCTTATTGACCTTACAAAGAAAGATCACCCCTTCCTATGGACGAACGACTGCCAGAACGCCTTCGACCACCTCAAAAATGCATTTCTATCGCAACCAGTGCTAAGAAACCCTGACCCAACTCGACAATTTGCAATCGCCACTGACGCATCGCTTGCGGCGACTGGAGCAGTACTGTTACAGACTGATGAAAATGGGATGTACCATCCATGCGGTTACTTGTCTCAATCATTCAACCCAGCGGAACGAAACTATGAAATCTTTGATAGAGAACTACTGGCAGTCATCAGAGCACTCTCGGAATGGCGCCACTACCTTGAAGGAAGTCCCCATACCGTGATAGTATTCACGGATCACATGAATCTCCTGTACTTCCGCTCTGCCCAGAAGTTAACAAGAAGACAAGCACGTTGGCAGCTTATCTTGTCCAACTTTCAGCTGGAATTGCACCACATCGCAGGAACCAAGTTGGCTGCTCCCGATGCACTGTCACGACGCCCTGACCATTCACTCGGAAAAGATGATAACGAGAATCGCATCCTCCTCCCTGATACCATGTTCGTACGACTGATCGACAACAACCTATCAGAAAGCATTGCACGCAACTCCGCCGAAGATCCCGTGTATCAGAAGGCCCTACAAGCATTAGATGGGGTATGCCTTCCCCCAATGAAATCCGCCCTCTCCGACTGGACATGCACCAATGGTGTGCTCTTTTATAAGCACAGGGCCTACGTGCCTGTGGCCCAACGGCATGACGTGTTGTTTAAACATCATGACCACCCTACAGCTGGGCACCCCGGCCGGTTCAAGACTGAGGAGCTCGTAAAGCGGGATTTTTGGTGGCCCGCCATGGGAACCTATATTCGCAAGTACGTCGACGGATGCGCTTTGTGTCAGCAGATGAAAGCCGACACACATCCTGTTACCCCACCTTTGCGTCCGATTCCCTCCGTTGCCACTCGCCCCTTTTCCCAAGTTTCCGTCGACCTCATCACCGATCTGCCAATGTCTGGAGGCTTTGACTCTATCATGATCGTGGTAGACCATGGGCTTACGAAGGGGGTAATTATTTCACCATGTAACAAAAACATCACTTCAGAAGGAGTGGCCAAATTATTCCTCAAAAATGTGTTTAAAAGATTCGGCCTCCACGAGAAAGTAATCTCGGATAGAGGACCGCAGTTCATTTCGAAATTCTCTCGAGAACTCACCCGACTTCTTGGATATCAGATCGCTGCATCAACCGCCTACCACCCCCAGACAGACGGGCAAACGGAACGTCTCAACCAAGAACTCGAAACCTATCTTCGGATCTACTGTAGGAGTAACCCGTTAGAATGGGCCAACCACCTTCCTATCGCCGAATTCGTTCACAATCATAGAAAACACGACGCTAGAAACACTTCTCCATTCTTCCTCATGATGGGCTATGAGCCACGGGGAATCCCCCATATCCTACCCATATCCGACACGCCAGCAGCAGAAGAAAGACTTAGGAACCTCCAGAAGATACGTGAAGAAGCACTTGCCTGCCACAGCATCGCTATGCAGCGAATGGCAGAAAGATCTCGCCATGGGAAATATCGACCATGGAAGATAGGAGATAAGGTATGGCTTACGGCCACCAATCTCCTAACATCTTTACCATCCAGGAAACTTGCGCCCAAG